GATGCCCCCCCCCCCCCGGGTTCGTAGTGGAGACCGAGGGGGGATTAAGAATCAAGCGAGGGCTATATAACACATTGGCAGCTCATGTTCTGCCATTATCACCCTTCCCCTCCCACCACCCCTTTCCAGGAGGGTTCCGCCCCCTATATTTTTGGATACGCCTTTTTTATCGCGTCATCGACAGAAATGGGAGAATTCACCTTCTCCGTGATCTTCAAGTAGTCTATACTAGGCATCTCAATATCGTCTTATTTAGATGAAAATGATCTTTGCGAGGATCATCTTGTCCTGACCAGATTTTCGTGTTCACCTTCTGATGCCTCTGCTCAATGTGATTCAAAGACAGTCCAGAAACGTTCTCAAATGATGACTGTGTCCTACATGTTGTCCTCCATATTAGATGCAACGCCATCAGAAATAATCTTCGTCCTTTTCCAGGGCCTTTTCCATGTAGTTATTACGTCCGTGAAACGTGAAACTTCAGTCACACCGACACCGCTAAGCCGACTCCAAAGTTAGCCGACCAATTCTTTGCCATAAGAAGAAACGTAACTGTTAGTTTGGTCTGTTGTCGATCTGGTGACAATATCCTTAGTGTGCCTGTATTATAAGCAGACCGTGAGACGTGCCAATGTGGTAATGACTTTAATACCCAGGTCACACCAACATGAACAACATTAGGCCAACAATACATACCGAATAATATGACATCAACCTAACTATCGTTCATTTTGGAGTTGGTGTGAAGTAGGTTTTTGGTGGTGTGACTGGGACCTACGCAGATCGTGAAACTTGACGATATGATAATAAATAGGACACGAGACCGATATCGGGCCGACAATAGACCGAACAAAATATCGATAACGAATGGCTAAGAATAGGTCTTTTTTTTTTAATGGTTTTGTGTCTTTTATGCGGTGTGAATGGGGTCTAAGCAGACCATGAGACGTGACACCGGGCAGACACCAGCCACCAGGCCGACGATAGCCTGATCAACATAATACATCACCCTGAACGGACAAAAATCAGTCGTTTCGGGGTTGGTTTGGCGGTGTGACTTGGGCCTATAAGAGGACCATCAGACGTGAGGCCGTGATAATGAATGTGACTTTCAGGTTAAATGATACCTGAACCCTGGTGTGACGCCCACGTGTGACCCACTTTGATGACAAGTGTCTATGGTTGTGGCATCTCATCAGATCATCAAATCTAGCATGATACCCGATTCGAGGAAAACCCAACCTCTTGACTGTCATCAAATGTGACAAGTCATTCAACAAACGCCTCTTTCTCAAGAATTGATTTATCAAAGTTCAATTTATGAATGGTTTATTCATAACAAAATTTAAAAAAACGTGCATTTTATACTTGTATATCCTTTTAGATCAAGAGCAGCTACCGTTAGATAATTCATTGTCACTGGTTTCCTCATTGGCATAAATTCCCGATTCGAGGAAAACCCAACCGCTTGACTGTCATCAAATGTGACAAGTCATTCAACAAACGCCTCTTTCTCAAGAATTGATTTATCAAAGTTCAATTTATGAATAGTTTATTCATAACAAAATAAAAAAAACGTGCATTTTATACTTGTATATCCTTTTAGATCAAGAGCAGCTACCGTTAGATAATTCATTGTCACTGGTTTTCTCATTGGCATAAACGCCTCGTTTTCAAGAATTTATTTATCAAAGCTCGATATTAAAATGGTGTATTCATTTTGTTTTTAACCATGCACTTTACTTTTGCTTTTACATGAAGAGAAGCACACGTTAGATCATTCATTGTTACGAGTTTTTTCACTGGCACGAACTTGATAAACGCCTAGTTTCCAAGACTTTATTTATCAAAGTACAATCTATAAATGGTTTATTCATTTTTGTTAATTAAATAATAAAACGTGCATTTTTCTTATCCTTTTACATGAAGAGCAGCAGAGGTTAGATCATTCATTGTCACGGATTTTCTTGTTGGCATAAGCATGATGAATAACATCTTGTAAAAGGTAATGCATATCTCAAAATACGTATACAGATATGCTGAAAAAATTAATAATTCAGCTGATAAATACGGCATTCCGATGTCATTTAATGTCAAAAAATCTGCAATATATGTTCGCGGGAGCTGGAATTGTTTTTCTTTCTTAATATGGCATTGAAATATAATCAAATAAGAAATATGTTACTTTTAAACTTGTTTAATTTTTGTTAAAGGAAACCTAACCCCAAAGAATAAGTGTAGGTATTCTGAAAAAATTAGATGTATTCCTGTCCTTTGATGTAAAATATTCCTTACGAAAATGTACAAGAGATATATAAATGAAGATATTCCTGGCATGATGTGATGCCTTTTAGCATGACATGGGCGCAGCCATTTTCTTGAAAATGTGACGTACCAGTTGAAGTTGTACATGTATCATGCACCAAGCTTTAGTTGGAAATAATTTTAAATCAATAACGAAACCTTTACTTTTCATTGAGGAAAAAGTCATAACTGAGAAGATAGAAATTATATTTGGTGAAAAATAAATAACAGGGGAACAAATGTAACTAAGTTCATTTATAAATAATACACTATAGTAGTTGACAAATCTATTTCATCTATGAGAAACCTTCACCCCAGAACAGCACCAACTTATTTATGCAATTTGCGTTCTGGCAACTGTAGTACAAAGGATAATAGCAGGTGAATGAAATGCTTCATCACCACACACGTCTGGGAAGGAAGCATCCATAAATTTGAATACATTTACTTTTATAAACGACTTCGCATAGTACGTCACGTTATCAAGAAAATGACGATGCCCATGTCTTGCTGAGAAACTACATTATTCTTGCTTTATACCTCTCTCATACATTTTGGTGGGGAATCTTGTAGACTAATGGGCAATAATATAATAGATCTCTCAAAATAAGTAAAGTCATTTCTTGGGGTTCGGTTTCCTTTAAGATCCCTTTCAGCATAATGTTCGATATTCCCTCTGATCGAGTATCTCGCACTATTATGTTTAAAAAAATAAAATACGTGAGCGCAGGCGCGTACGCAGGCAGGGGGGGGGGGGAGGGGTTTAGGGGTTAACCCCCCCCCCCCCTTGGTATTTTTAATGTGGGTATTTTGGAGGAACCCCCCCCCCCTTCGGTATTTTTATTATTTTGTTTTGTTTTATTCAATTTTTTTTTAAAATAAAATAAAAAAATACGTGCCCCCTGTGCCCCCCCCCCTTGGATCCGCCACTGTATAAATTTAACTCATTTCAAAGTAATATGGCTACAACAATCCTCAACGACGCCCCTCTCTCTCTCTCTCTCTCTCTCTCTCTCTCTCTCTTTCAATTTTAATTCCTCCCCCTCTTTAGTGCTCTCTCTCTCTCTGCCAGATTTTACCCAATTCAACTCCAGCCCTTTTAGATATAAATCGGTGTGACATGCACTAAGAGCAAAAACCGTTAGGCGTAACAATAAAATAAAAAAAAGAAAAGAAAACAAATCCAATTCACTAAAAAAAAATTAGCAATCCACAAAAAAGGTCCGGATTCCCATTATACCTCCATCCCGATCCACCCCTGCTAAGTTTCAATTCTCGCTACCCCAAATAGCGATTCTGCCGAGATCCGGGGAAAATCCTGAAAACGCGCATTGCATTATGGGATAGCTTTTCGACATTACAGCTTCCTGTGCAGGCGTTCGTGATCACAACCCTCTCTTTCACGGTAGAGTTTAACGGCCTTTTGTGCTAAAGTCACTAATTCTGCCCGAAGCTTTCCATTGCATATTATAATCTGTACAAATTACACTGATTGGCATCGATTTTAGCGTGCGTGAAAACTCTACACAGCGAACACAGGCGCTAGCGCCAGCGGGATGGGACTCTATACCGGAAGTTGTAGTGACGACCCGAGAGAGTGAAAATTACCTCGTCTCGCGAATTTCGAGATTTTCGTACCTATTTAGGGTAGCGAGAATTTAATCATTCACCACGACAAAAGCTCATCATGAAAAATGATTTTGACAAGGCTACAATAGCATGCACTAGAATAATTATGTTATGGAAGATGTCAGCCGGGACTTCAATAACAGTTTTCAACATCATTTTATTTATTCCCTGAACTATCAAATGATCTATATCATAATAGCAGAACAGTTATTAAATTAATTTTTATTTCAATGGTTCTTTTCCTTTAAAATGCTTAACATGCCTACTTTCATGAAGCCGTTAGCTTCGCATTGCAGAAGAGGGCGCCCGTCCAGAGAGCGACCTGCTTCTCAGGTGTATTGTTTCGCCTGGGCTAAAAATGTTTTTTATTTTACTTGCCCGCCCGTCCGCCCCCCCCCCCTTTATTTTTTGGTGTCTGCTCGCTTATACTCTCTTTCTCCTCCCTCCCTCTCTCTATGTCTGTCTGTCTCTCTCTCTCTCTCTCTCTCTCTCTTTCCTCTATCTCCGTTTGTTTTTTTCTCTCTTTTTCTCTTTCAAGTTTAATTCCTCCCCCTCTCTCTGTATCTCTCTGTCTCTCTCTGTCTCTCTCTCTCTCTCTCTCTCTTTCCTCTCCATCTCTCTCTCACCTTCTTTTATCTCTCATTACTCAAGAGAATAAGTACTTATAATTTAAAATCAGTTTTTCACTTTATTGCATGACAAAATATCTAGAATACATTTTGCCTTAAAGGCCCACTGCATTACTGGTAGCTACTTGTGCCCTCTATATAACAAACAATGCCTAATCGGTGACCATTGGTCCCCCATGATCCTCTTTTTCTTATGTTAACTGAGAGCTGAGTTGATGAAATAACCACCTGTCCAGTGACCTTGCAGAGCGGTCTAATCCCTCCTGTAAACTATGGCAGATAAGCTTTAATATAAAGTAAATATCCCATTTTCCAAAACAACCTTCTGTCATGAACATGCAAATGTACATAATGAGAAACATGTCTAGACAAGTCCTCATGTCTTGAGGAGAGAACAAAATGTTTAAAGATATCTAAAACAAAAGAAAATAAAACAACTTGAATGGTGACATCATTATTATTCTTGCATCAGGTAGATCTCGGCTTGAATTTAAAGTGAAAGGCAAATATACAGCCAAGTCAAGGGGGAATAAGGGGAAACAAATTGTAAGCAAGTTGATAAAAAGGCTTGGTTTCCTTGTAAACAGCACTTAACTTTCATATTTCTTTCCCTACTCCATCAACTTTAAGGTAAAATAGGTTTTCTATATAATGGCCAATAGCATATGATAAGATATTTATAAAGAGAAACAAAAAAACATATCCAAAGCAAAACAGCTAAATCTAAATATTCTATAGAATGGATTTTTCTGAAGCATCATTTTTCAGAAATATTTTAAAATATGATAGAGGTTTTCCAATATTCATACTGCTGCAAGGGAAAATGCCATCGACAAATATATCATGTTCAATCATAGAGCTCTTATGTACATATATATCTGATTTAATATATTCAAAAATAAGATTTTCATATGCACAAGTTGATTAAAACAACATTATTACATTTTTCACTTTCAGCAGTATCACTGCTTCAAGTCAGATCCAGACTTTTACCACACATTAAAAAAAAAAATTTTGAAGGAAGGGTTCACCACCCAGGTATTGCATGCGAGTCCATTCATATTGATTGCTGTTACTTCAGCCACAGGTGGGCAGAAAGGGGGGGGGGGGTTCAGAGAAGCAAACCAAAACTTAAATGATTTACGCAAGAGTATCAAACTCAACGTAATATATACCACATTGAATCGCCTTTTGAACGACTTTAAAGGCCTCTAGCTTTGGGGGATCTGAGTGTTACAGCATTCTTGAAAAGAAAATAACAAATCAAACAGGACTGCTTGTTTACAGCAGTAACCTAGAAATGACCCATTCCAGAAAATTCACCATGAAGCCCTGGTTTACAGAAGGCAAAGCTACAGATGAAGACAGAGTGTCTAGGGTGAGTCTACTCTGTCTGGTTTCAGTCCCCTATCCATAAATCATTTCTTAAACAAGAGTATTGCACGTCTTGTCTTCAGTCTATATGCAGCCATTGTTAATTATGTATAACATTCATCAGATGTCAAGGATTGGTATGGAAAACATCCAATATTCAAATTTTCAAAACAAAATCCCTCTTCATGAACTGAATCCAAAGACAGCATTGCTCTGGTATTATCAACAACAAAAATTACAAAGGTCAAGAGTCTACCAATGAAGTACACATGCATTCATATTAATTACATCATGCAAGACAAACAAAAATCCAACTGGGTTCATAAAAACTAATTTCATACAGTCTAAGTGTACTAAAAAAGAGATAATTTTTGATATTTGTTGATAAAATGTAAAATATGACACATTATGTTTCTGTTAAAAATTATGAAGTTTCCATTTATCTAACTCATTTTCATGGATATACAATATTATTGACCATTTCTATAAAAAAAAAATTGTAAAGATAGAACTTGGATGTTTTTTAATGAAAAATTAACAAATGAGATGTTACTGATTGGTGTGATTTGGTATTTCGCTGTAACTACATATATACTTTATTCTTCATCATGAATGTAAAGGTTTCGGGGTAAAGAAATTTTCTTTCATAGAGTAAAACTGTAAAAGATTTTTTTTTTTTAAAGCTGATACCCACACACAATAAATTAAAATGAGATTAGAATTGTGAAACAACATAGATCAAAACAGCTTCTTCAAGAAGGAGGCGCGATAGCTCAGTTGGTAGAGCAGGGGTCTCGTAATCGGCGACCCGGGTCCGAAACCAAGGCAATGCGCTAGTGCCCTTTGGTAAGACATTTTAATCCTCATTACCAGGTCTTTCGAAGAGGATCTAAATCTTACTAACTCTTAGCAGCCAGGTAAAATAACCATTAGATTATTACAGGACAAGGCCAGACCATGTTTATAATTCAAAGGTAGATTTAATACTACAGCATTTATTATGCGCCATCGATCTAGTAAACTATTCTGAGGCGCAGAGGGAGATTATTACCCTGGCTTTAGCACGGCGCTCTAGAATTTCAAGGAATTAATTCCTACCAGCTACCCATTTATACCACCTTGGTTTAGTGTGGCAAATGTAGATCAATGTCTTGCCGAAGGACATTAGTGCCGCAGCAGGACTCGAACCGCAGACTTGTGATCGACAGTTTGGTGACGTATCCACTTGACAACGACACCTCTCTTGAAGGTTGAGGACATTATCAGTCTTGAAGATTGTCATTGAATTGCGTTCCCCCGTTGTTCTGATGGTCTTATTCGTCGTGCAACATTAAGGCTTGAACCAAGATCCAAAGAATTTCTTGTACATGGAATCATCGTTTTCATCGCCTTCCTGCCTGCCTGGTCCAGGATACCTCCTAGAACCAGGCCAGGACATCCCTGGTCTCCAGACATGGGGTACATCATCAGTCCTGTCTCTCTCCCCTTCCAACCTGTCGTGTCCAGGACACCTCCTTGTAAAAGGCCAGTGTTGACCTGGTCTCCAGGGATGCATTCCCCAAGGTTCCATGCGTCTAGGTTCTGTGCTCCCAGGAGAGGGCTTATCGTCTGGACCTGTGGTCACAGTCGTTGTTACATTACCCTGACCATCACGTTCAGTCCGTCTGGTTTCAGAGGTCTGAAAGCAGAAGAAGAGAGGAGTTAAAGTAGTCACCCAACAACTGATAATTATGAACAAATTATATATGGATGGAAAGATTTTCTCTTGAAAAACACAAATAATTTGCTGGAAAATCATATAGATATCATAGAAAGGCATAAAATGCATTTTTGTGCCTAGCTGTGTCTTGCATGTGACGTCACAAATCTTGACACTCTACGGAGGACCGCTTAAGGCAGAAAATCTAGATCTCAAAATTAACATTTTGAGAGATGATTACTGTGGGCCCTAAACATATTTTGAAGAGGGAAGTTGTTATATTTGATCAGTAAGGCTTCCCCTTTGCAATTATATGAATTTTGCATCGATACAAAACACTTTTGATTCTTCTGGTGACTACTTTAAAGGTACTGCACAGATCCCAAAGAAAAAAAGATTCATGTACAAAAAAAGGAGTGGAAAAAATATTAGATTAACAAATTCAAGAAGAATCTTCTGAGACAAATAATGATGACATAAGTAGAGCTGATGATACACGAATCGCTCCCCATAGGAGAAAAAACCTATTGATCACTTGCATTCCACAAAATTGTATAATTCTTGAAATTAAAAAAACACTTTCTAGTCATATCAGAACAAGCTTCATAGTTCAATTATGCAGTAATACGGCTTCCTCTTTATTTTATGTTTTGACCTAAGATAGAAACGTAAATATTATCAAGCCGGTTTCTTGCTACATGGTAGAGAGAATTTAAAATCTAGAATTGAAGAAGTTGTACACTCACCCCATCTGGTCTTCTGATTGTCTGTATTGATATGCTCCTGGAATAAGAACTCTGTCGTTGATCTGATGATGGTTGCCTAGGTGATCCACCTCCAAACATTCGCTCCATCTCCCCTTGCCTGACAACATCATCCAGATCTGAAGAAGATGAAAGAGGAATAACTGAAGTTAACTGATTTGTTATAAAGAGCACATCTACACCCCCCCCCCTCCTTTCTAGAATTATAATATTCCGCTTTTATATAGCGTTTAATACATCTACGATGTCTCTAAGCGCTTTAAAAATATACTATTACCCTGGTCATTTGATTTAATACTTGTCCGCACACACTGTGTGCACCATCTCCACTCCCTGGGGAGTATTTCAGCCAGGCGTTACTTGACGCTCAAAAAAATGTTTGACCAACAATAACAGTCGCATCCTATCGGGTACCCCAACTCCTTCTATGTCACCAATCTTCTTCTTTCTTTTTTTAATGACATAAAAGAACTATCATGTGAGAAAGTGTTACATGCAATGCTTATTTGTTTTTTGTTGTTCTCGTTTACATTTTTTGTTACTGATGTTAAACATGGAATAAAAAATATATTTTTGCAAGAAATAAACTTCATCCTGAAGATACTTGGATCTGTTTCAAAGAGGAAAATGAAGCCTTTCGAAGTCCAAACCCTTACCTTCTTAGGTGGGATTTGCTTCCCACAGCACGGAAAGAGTTAATATATGTTTATACAGTATAATCTCCTGGGTGTAGGCCCACAGTTGTGACATCCATATAAAAAGTGATTTCACAGAATTTATTAAGCAACTTGATGGAAAGCTAATTTCAGGATGGAAAACTATTTTTCGGTGCATAAATGACTGTCTTTAGAGAAACATCTTTGTTTGCATGTTTAATATCTTCACCAGTGGACAGGCAAGATGGAATTTGATACAGACATTGCAATTTCTACAGTCTACTTAAAAAGTATGTATCAGTTGGTTTTTAAATTGTGATTTCAATGTTATTATTCAGCTTATTATAAAGGTGTGGTACACGCACACAAATCACTAATGATTGCAAACAGGTATGTCTTCAGTTGCATTGGATATGTTAGATCATTATGTATGTAAGGTACCCAAATAACTGTGCACTTTTCGCCATGCTGTCAGCTCATGATATTATCATCAACTCATGGGATAAACCCACCCATGTATCCTACTCAAGGCCATTCAATATTACATGTATATAAATATCATTCACAGTGCTCACCTGAATCTTTCTTTTCTGAAGGAGACAGCGAGACATTTTCATCGGGAGGGACAGAAAGAATGCTCTTTCCTTTTCTTAGCTCTTCAAACTGTATAATGAAAGTCAACAAAAAAGTAATATAATTTTTTTTAAACCACACTGTTGGAAAAGAATAATAAAAATGGGCATATAAAGAAGACAACTTTTACTCATTACTCAATATTTTCATTATTTAACAATATGACCGATGGGTATGAAATATCCCCTTAAAACTAACCTACGAGTTTCCTCATTTTACAAAGTCATAGATTCCACACAGAATAGAGTTTTTGTTTCCTTATAAGGGGTCCTTGTTGATATCTTATTGAAACATGGTTGTGGTGCCATTTTTGCCTGTACTGTTCAAGATGACTATATCACCTTCTGATATAAAAATAAAAAAGCTTTAAAAAGGATGAAAGACAGACCGTTCTCTTTGATTAGAAGACATTTCCCTCACTTATCTATACTTTGCAGAGCTCCCTAAGTCCCATTGTTTATTTGCTTGTCTTAGGTTGGGGATGTTTCCTTTGTCTTCTTCTATATTTTCTTTCGGGGGGGGGGGGTGACATGTTTTCAAGTAATCGCAATTTCAATTGCTTTTGTCACCCCTGACCAGCAGATTGTATCCTTCTCTCTCTCCCCTCCACTTTCCTAAAGCTGTTTGCATGCAATATGGAATTTCTATGTATTATCTGATGGTTATACTCATTGTATGTTTTCTGATTGGTCAAATAAATAATAATAATAATAATAATAATATTAAATGAAACAAAGTTTATAGAAATAATACCCATGAGAGTGGCTCCTTCAAAACAGTCTTTGGGGTGGCTGTGCCTGGCTCTGGACTATTTGTAGAATCTGGTTCTTTCAGCATTTCATCTCTTGGTGCTTTCGCCTCAGGTTGTGCAGGGGACGATGGAGAGATCCTGGGAACATCTAGAAGCGGGAGCCAGGTGGGAATTCATAAATAACAAAATCAAGTTTTTATTCTGGGAGGTAAAAGGAATGATTTTCACTCCCTGAAGTTTAAATGATTACTGTTTCATTTGAATATGATGGCCAGAAGAAAAAATACTGGTACCGGTACTTCAAATAATCATGGTTATGGAAGAAAATATGAACTCATGATCAGAACATTTTCCAATATTACATTGAAATGTTTTAGTGTTATTAGTCTTACTTTTTTAAAATAAGCTTTTTCAAAGCGGTTGTCTCCTAGTGCATCATCTTAACTACATATATTTCAAGCATGATACAAGATTTTGATGATTTTAATGTTCCTGCTGATGATTATTGGCATTATCATTCTTCTGTTTATCCAACTAAAAGGGGTTCATGACCTACCAGAATGTGGCTTAAACTTATTTCAGGAAACAAAGATAAATTCAAAGTCATTTATGGAAATGACTCCAATGAATTATCATCTTCATTAATTCTTACCTAACGGAGGAAAATCTGCAATACCAAAGCTTTTGAACATATCATCAAAGAGTTTGAAGAAGTCATTCATCTCGTTGTTGAACGAGAAAATAGCTCCTCCTCCTGGGAATGGACCTTGTCTTCCAGGTGGCCCCTCATAATTGTCGTCATCGTCCATGTCATGTGGTTGTTCACTGTAAAACCGACTACCAGGGGATGAGGGGAAGAATCCATGGAAAGGGGTCTGATCACCTTCTTCATCAAAGGTATTGTCCCTGTAGGAAGAAATAAAAAAAACCCAAATAGATCTCTAGATCTACTAATATAGTACTAGACCTAGACCTTCTATCTTAAATAATTTCAAACAAAAATTTAATTATTCAAAAATATCAATCAAAAACACACTCAATTACTATTAAAATGGATAGTTTTGCACTAACACGATTGTCTTTTCAATAATAACCTACTTTCTGAAGATTATAAGATTTTGAAGGGAGTCATAGACTCACTCACTGTTTTAAATTTCATTCTTCCACAAGTTGCATTGTTTGCGCCAGCATAGTAATGAACGTATGGGACTGATATACAAATAACCTACCAAATATGTGGATGAAAAAGACAGTTTGTAGAGAAGGTACAATAGCATAACAATGTCACCTCATACAAGGATATATAATTCTTTTATTTCTCACCTATTAACTCCACGACGAAATCCCGACCTTCCAAAAAATGAGTCGAAAATATCATCAAATCTCGACATCTTCAACACTGAACCTAGTAGTACAAACCGTCAACGTAATTTCATTACGCAATATAAAGATGGTGTTACGTTATGCAAAATCTAAAAGGAAAAAAAATAAACTGGTTTCGCGTAGGATATAAAACAATTCAACATTTTGACAAGAAATGTGTTTTGATGGTAAAACAATCTTAAGGATGATTAAATAAAAGATCTTCATCAATACGTCAACATGAAAGTCGAAACCAGTGACGTGTCTGGATCTTGGGTCGGAGTGTGTGTTGAGGGGGGGGGGGGCAAGAGATTGGTTGATTGATTGATGGATTGATTGATTTGTATTCGTCAAGCTTCCAACATAAAACAATATACAATAATAACAGATCAAAAATAAGTCAGCTTGAACAGGATAACCCACGAAAGCTCGAGAGCTTATTTCCAGTGGGGTCCCTTACAGACATGTATAAAATTAATAAGTTAAAATAGTAATATTTACAGACAGATAAGAAAAATAATATAATTACTTATCAAAGGTAATAATAATAATAACAACTTTAAACTGATGATAGAAATGATGATAGAATGATAATAATGATAATAAGTACAAGAAGAAAAATAAGAAGGAAAAAGGAGAGGAAAATAATGGTGAATTTGTAGAATTTCTATAACGTACGAGAGGGAGGGAGGCAAGGAGGCAGGGACCAATATTTCAGCAGAAAAATTGTTTTCTGGGCCCTGATTTGCCTTATGGCATCCGAGGTTAGGACGGCGACTATTCTCAATTCTTTCTTTTTAATATGATATATTTGTTTACAATAACCACTGTACTGACAATAATAACAGCGGTATTCAACACAATGAATTTATAATTTTTTGCGAGATAGTAATGTTTAGCGAGTGAGGAAAATTTGGAGCCATATTTCCTTTTGAATAACAGTTCTTGGACAGATACATCAATAGTTCAATATTATGATGTTTAAGGATATACATCCAATTTAATTTCATAACATCAATTTCCTTTGTCGTGCTTCAGTTGCTTGCGAGGTCGCATGAAGACCGACCTTCGGGTTAGTTTTTAATAGAACGTATCTATGCTTTATGAGGTTTCAAACGCAACTGAATGATTATTTTGTGCTTGAATAATGTTCTCACATCACTGCAAAGTCTTTCTTTAATATCACTTTTTATGACTGAAAATCTGTATTTAATTTTTTAAACATAAAAATCTGTCAAGGGAAGCACTGCCCTTGCCCCTTTCATATACGATAGTGGTCGCAACTTATTACCGAGTTGCCCATGCAAAATATAAATGGGGTGTCGGAGAGACGGAAAGGAGATTACTCGGGCGTAAAGAAAGAAAAGATGATCGAAGGAGGAAGAGAGGGGGAGCATATGAGGAAGGTGTTTGAGGATTGTCAACTTTAAAAACATAAAAACTTGAAGAGAGAAGAGAGAGAGAGAGGGGGCACAGAGAGAGAGAGAGAGAAAGAGAGAGAGAGAGACCAATATAGGGCGGAGAGAGATGGAATTTAAAAGAAAGGTAATTGTAAAGGAGTAGCAGCAGAACACATTTGAAAACTGAACGCCTCCCGGATGGGAAATTGTCAGCATATTGTTTTTTAATGGCTCTTTGTCCTTTTTATATCAAATACTCGGTACAAAAGAACGTAGTCCCATGATATGACTATACGAGGTAATTTTTTTTGTTGTTTTTGTTAACTTACTCAACTTTAATACTCAAATGCGTGGGGTCGCTGATAAAAGTCCATTATAATCCTACCATAATAAATAAGGAGACGCAGTACCAATCATTATTGATGACCTGTAAATGTTGTGATATTATTTTTGATGTAATAAAACAGACAATTAAAAAAAAAGTCTAAGGAGACGCAATGGCTCATTGATATAGCAGTGGTCTCGAAACTGGGTTTGAAACCAAGTCGATGCGCTAGTGCCTATAGGCTATCGGATAAGGATATTTTCTTCTCCTTCTTCCCTTTCTTCTTGTACTTATTATCATTTCTATCATCAGTTTAATGTTGTTATTATTATTATCTTTAATAAGTAATTCTTTTATTTTTCTTATCTGTCTGTAAATAATTATTACTATTTTTAAGTTATTAATTTTATACATGTCTGTAAGGGACCCCACTGGACATAAGCTCTCGAGCTTTCGTGGGTTATCCTGATCAAGCTGACTTATTTATGATCTGTTGTTATTGTATATTGTTGTATGTTGGAAGCTTGTCGAATAAAACAATCAATCAATCAAAGGCTTAAATCCTCATTACCAAGTCCCTCAGAGAGGACTTAAAACCCGTCGGTCCCCTGTTTGCTTACATGCAAGTATACACATGCTTTCTTAGCAGTCGGGTAAAACAAACAAAAGAAACAAACAAACAAGCAAAACAAAAATGTGGAAGTATACAAATGTAATTTTCCTATTTGATCTCCCGCCACATTTATGGTAAACTATATGCATGTATCATATAACAGTTTGTTCGACTTCGGAATAAAAAACCTCAGAATACAAAATTATATCCAATAATCTGCAAGAAGAACTTAATTAACACTATAAGAGTCTATTTGGGTTGAAGGGTGGGTCACAGATACCATTACAGGATCTTCTTGTGCGCGCTTTTGTCTGAGGGAAATTCCCTGCGAAAGGGCCTGAAAATATTGCCAATCATCAAAAATTAAAATATAAATAAATATTGTATATCTTTATACCAAGATAAATCATTCATTTTGTGCTTATAATATCACAAACTATTTGATATATTTTTATTTGACCAATATGTGGTTATCATGTTTTTATATGTGCAAAATTGCAGGATAAACGTTTAGCAAATTGGCACAACAACAAAGCTGAACTTGAGAGGCGGGGCTCGTGCGAATGATGGCTAATGTCGGAAACGCTGGTGGAGAGAGAGTGCGAGAGAATGTCAGCACACGATAATAATACACAATCCACGGAGACTTTACTGGTCAGAGAGCGACTTTTAGGAACATCAGCCGACATGCAGAACTCGGATGAATTTCAAGATTTGCCAGTTCATGATGATTTTGATCCATTTGAATCCTACACGGAACTGCCCGAAGAAACTGTAGATGCTAACTTGACGGCTCCCCCTGAAAATGAGTAAGTAGATAAAGCGTGGGAGGAGAAAATATCAGTGCTATTTTGTTATTGTTGCCCCCGATTGTCCATGTCATTCATCACTGCCCTGCGCACAAAGGAATTAACTTTCATTCTGTGCACACTGCCGCATATGATTAACATGAAATTCAATTCACTTTTTCTGTGTCGATCGTTCATTCTTTCATGCTTGTGTCTTTAAATAGTAATACCAACATGGCTATTATTGTAATAATCTGTCGCATTTGTAATTATCTGTATTTGATAAAGTATTTAACATTATCTTTCATTACCAAGAATAAGATTAGATCTAGTTAATTTTAATCTGAATTTTAAATTCTGGATATGAATTAGATGTGACTCAATCTGAGCTGAGTCTGAGTGGATTATAATTCACATGACTCTGAGAGTGAGAATGGAAGAAAATTAATTCAATTAACGATATATATTTAAAAATTACTAAAATAGCGGTCTGTGTCAAAAACAGATATTGAGAACAACAGACCCAGGAAGCTTGGAGTTGGAAGTTAGGCCTTTACGCTAGAAATGTTCACGTCTAAACTGTATAAAAGTTTTAAAAAAAGAATAACACTTGTGACAGTTGGTAAACAAACAATAATACAGATGCAAACATCTAAGATAAATTCATGTTTGCCGTTGACATGAGGTCTCAAAATTATTTTGTTTCCCCAGTTTTTATCTCACTAACCAAATATTACACACCTTCATCATACACACTATCATTTATCAATGCATGCTTCGATAGTCGATACAATGACACTGGGAGAGATAATATTTTTTTAGTAGACAGACCTCTACATCAATTGAATAGAAAATTATTTAAGATGATTCATCACTTCATGATAAATTCATGAAGGTTGTGGTAGTGCTTAGCTAGCTCTGCCTTAAAAATGTTCCATTACCTGTGAATGGTATGAGATATGTGGTAAATGATAAAAAAATTGCCGGGAAACCGCCTACTAATTGATATATTTGGTAAATTAGTTTATCTATTGGTGAGTGAGAGATAAACGCACGTGTCGTGCACGTGTGCGTAGTCCCATATACATTTTTCTGTGTACAGTGCTTGTAGCTTTACAAAGACTGGGCCAAATTTCTTATCATTTTGATGATTCCAGAACCTTGCAGTACACACCAATACCTACATGTATGCTAGATGATCAACCTTTTCTGATCCATTCCACAACGTTTCTTTCATGAAATCGCATGAACATAACTGGTCTTTATCTTTAATGCATGGAAACTAACCGAAAAGAAGAATGCAAAATTATTACTGTTATTATTACTATTATAATTATTGTTATTATGAGAAGTAGTAGTAGTACAAGTAGTAATATCATCATTACTGTAATACAAATTCTTTTTTTTTAATTATTGTTATTACCATTTTTCATTACCATTATTATTTTCATGTTGTTTGTGTTTTGTTACATGTAGTTATCTAAGTTTTATTTATTTTTTGCAAATACCTTGTTCGTCAGGTCAATTCAAATGTTCATAGTCAAGCCATACCAATTGGATAATATTTCCATATTATTCTACATGTACATTTGTAAACGTAGGGCCTACATGTATTTTATGATGACCTGGATATAGTATAGGCAGCTAGACCGATTTGTTTACTCATGAAATCAAAGTGTCCCGGGAATATTGGGAAATAAGTGGAGAGAAAAACTCAAGTCCTGGATTCTGTTTTCTTTGTGCTATGATGTACCCGGTACATGTAGGTTTAATCCCCAGGAAACGATAAGTTGGAAAGCTGATGTGCATTACGGAAATCATTTGTACATTACTCGCTGTATTTCTTTTTAAAATATAATAACAGTACATTTAGATTATTTGCCAAGAAATGAAATGTAGTATCATATTGGTTTTCCTTCATTTTTTTTTAAAATTTCCTGGGGGATTTTTTTTTTCAACTCTTTTCAAGAGTTAATTTGATACTCCTTTGGAAATGATTTCAGTACTGATAGGATGGGAAAAGGGGGGAATTATTTTTTTCTAGAGAGAAATAATTTAAGTTTAAGATGTAGCAAATTATTTCTTGAAATCAGAGATTTTTGGTGTTGGTACGGTTTTTAATGTATCTTTCATGTTGTTGGTGCTGTTTTTTATTCAATTTTTTTAATTATTATAATAATGTATTCAATTTTTTTTAGGGGTGGGTTTTTGCAAAAAGATAATTTACATCAATGTTTGATAATTTTATGGGCTTTACGTAACTTCATGTACATGTACTGTGTACAGACTACAGTATACAGTAATGGTGTTTTGTTCAGAGTTGAGGATACAAGTTGATTAAAGTAGGTAATTTATCACTGAAGCATGTGCTATAAGATTGACAAATAAATTGTTATAAGTGTCCCATCATTACTATTTTTTTCAATTTTTCTAGATGGTACCATGGATGTTTGGATCGACAGTCGGCCGAGTTGCGACTCAATGCTGCCGACAAACCAGGGAGCTATCTAGTCCGAGAGAGTGAGCGTAAACCAGGTTCCTATGTCTTATCCTACCTGGGACAGAGAGGAATTAACCACTTCAGGTAATCATTCATCCTTCATTTCTACATTCATATATTTATATTCATATTTATTTCATTTCCAACAGAAAGGTAAACAAAGATATTACATTTTTTCATACATTCCGGTTATTCATTTTTTCCGGAAACTATACAAATACACTTTGCACATAATAAAATTATTACAAGAAATTCTTACTTTCTGAGGAAATGGGGGGGGGGGGGGGAGGAGATCCACTAAAAAGCAGTACTACATGTATGTACATGCATTGGCATAGAATGTGCCAAGCCATTTAAGGGGCACTTACACTGGGGTGGAGGGGGGCACATTGGTTTTATTCCATAAATGAAGAGCGGTAATTAATAAATAATTGGAGTTATAGTGCGGGGAGCATTTTCTTGAAACTGTCTAAAATTCTAACTTCTTGGACATCCCATTGAGACGTACATGAACATACATGTGTTATAGAATTAACACATATTTTTATGGGATGTCCACAAGTTTAGATTTATGCATGTTTAGAGTAGCTGACCACATGAAGGAACCCTGTCATCTTTTTTACATGCCAAGCTGTTTCCTCCTCTCTCTTTCCGTTTCCCTATTCTCATTCCCTTTTCCCTATTCTCATACCCTTTTACTTTAGCCATTTGTGCAGCATGTTGAGCTACATTTACATAATATGCAGAAATTGATAATACACCATGTACATGTTCATTAATGATGAAGATACATGTACATTGTATGTATGACTGTTGTTCCCTGGGAAAACTAACAATGATCGATTGATTTTTTCAAACATTTTCAGAGTCACTGCTGTTTGTGGAGATTTCTATGTGGGCGGTCGTCAATTTCAAACTCTACCTGAATTGATCGGGTACTACACTCACATATCCAACATTCTCAAGAATGAGAGATTACAATACCCTGCACCTCCGCCAGAGGTAAGTGAAAAATGCTGATAAATTGATTATTAGTGAAGCTGATTTAACATTTTTTTAAAAGTTATATCAGACATACACAAAGAAAAAACAGATGAGGATTTAATTTACAGCGGTTATTTAGTTTTGTTTTACACAATAATACTTTTAATAATTATATCCCATTTCAATCCAAGTTCATTTCTTGTCATTCAGTTAATCTTTTTTTTTAATCAAATGTGGCAATATTCATTCAGCTGTCTCAAAGAGGCACATGTACATGTATGCCTATAAATGCCTCATAATTTCATTCAAATTAATACAAATCTAAAATAGAATGAAGTTACATTCTTACATGTATTTTCAAGTTTGATAAGTGCATGTACATTTCATTTATTTACAACAAAAATTTCCTCATATTTGATCTGCATTCAATCTGAATTTCAACACAACTTTCAAATTCATTTGAACTACCGATATATACTCAAGTACAGATATCTGATAATTTTGTAGATTTCATAAGAGATGGAAACCATGGAATTAAATTGGGTTATCTCATGAATCTTAAAAACTGGTATTTTAAAGCATTTTGTGCTCATGAATGTTTGTGTTTTTAAATTGATTTTACAGCCTGTGGATGATAAAAAGAAAGTTGTTGCAACTCTTCCATACAATAAGGTCCCTGATACTGATGAACTAAGGTGAGAATTTTTTAAATTTTTGTTTGTTATACTCATGTATGGTACTTATTTGTTAAATTCTTTCTAGATGTATACTTACATACAGTAGATGGTCAAACGTTTGAAACCAAATGCTGATGTAGAGTTTGTAAATGTTATTGCACTGCAATATGTCTGAGTTTGATATTGAGAAAAATATGGAAATATTTTGAACATTTATGATTCAGATACTGTAAGACCAGAAATGTTCTTGGCATAGAACTCATGAATTCGTAATGGGAACCATTCTTACAGTAAGGAAGAATTAGTGCAATGATGTTTTTATTTTCACCAAAACAACAAAAAATGTGATGTGTACCACATGCAACGTCACAAGCAATTTTTTATTTACAGTAGTCCCTGTAAAGTGTAAACAGCCACTACTGAATGTCACAAGAATATGAGATGAAATGAAAAATGTCATGGATCAGATGATTCATGATTGATTTTTGCATATTATTTCTTAGATGGCCTCTTGTATGATCCGATGTTGTGCTTATTTATGTTCTGGCATGTGGAAATGACATGATTGCATTGTGGTATACAATATATTATGCATGTGCATGGAGCTTTGAATAGTAGAAACATTGAATTAGTTTTTTCAAAATATAACTCCTGTTCATTTAGTTTATGACTTAAATTGTGGGAATATTGGTTTTTAAATTCAAATGAGGAAAATGTATGGAGTACATGTGTATCTGTCATTGACTGACTGACATAATTGATCTTTTTACAAGTTTTTAATTTCTCTTTTTTTGCAAGACGATGAAGACATTAGTCTTCATTGAGATTTCAAAAAGTCTTGTTTTTTTGCTATTGAGAACAAGTTATCCTTCGAAATCTCTTTATACATGTGCTGTATATGTATGTCATTATCGTATTAGCTATGAAAAAAATACTTGTGCTCAAACGCAGAAATACATATGGGACTAGAATATGCAGGAGAAAGCTATCGTATGTCATATATTTTAAGTAATGGATGCAAGATTCTTTCTGTATATCCACTATGATTGATTGTTATACTGTACATACTGTAGGTTGCATAACAGGAATACATGTAGTACTCGGGAACAGGAAGGACATGATAAAGACATATGATCATGGTTCACTTTATCCCACCAGCATTGTTTCGCACAACTTATTTACTTGTAAGTTGTACATACCTGTACATGTATGTGCAAGCTTACTGCAGATATCAAGGATAATCATTGTATTATCTAGCTCAGTGCTACATGTAAAACCTGGTGTCCTATGTAGCTAGACACAATCGTCCATAGATGAACAAAATATCCAAAATGTTGAGGAAAAAAATTAGATTTAAAATCCTTTCTTATGTAAACCTTTGTTTCACAATTCTTGTAAATCACATACAGTATACAAGTATGTTGTATACAAGTATGTTGTATATCAAGTAGTATACAAGTATGTTGGATTATTTAATTCAGGGAATAATTTTCCTGGTATCGCATCGCAATTTGCTATGCATTTTTGCATGACTGCTATACAAAATATCTTTTGTGTAGCAGTTTTCTTCCATAGAAATGTACAGAATTTCATTTGAAATATTTATCCATCGGCTGAAATTGCTAATCAAAAAATTTGAGGAAAATTATTCCCTGTAATTTCTGTTATATCTGTTCATGTTCATTGACATGTTCCACTTAATTAGTGTTTATTTACATTTTGTATAATTAATCATAGTTAGCTCACTTACAGTAGCTGTATACATGTACAGTGTATGTAGGGGGAATTGTGACAGTTCAACAAATCCATGTTTCCAACTAACCTCGATTCGCTCTCCCCTGCTTCTTAGAAACCTCCTGCATTACTTGTGTGTGAGTCATGCTGCTGTGATGTAAACTCCAGTTATATGCAGAATGCATACATGCATGCGCATGTTCAGGTGTATGTGTAATCTATGTCCTTTTTGCCATGTCTTCCTGATATTTGCAGGTGGAACTAAAATGATGAAATGTGCGGATATGTACATGTTCACTTTAGCGATCATTACTGTTTGTACAAATTCTGCATATTTGGTTATTTTAAAAAAAAGTATTCCAATTTTCTTCTAATGAACTATCCTTATAGTTACTTCCAACAAACAGCTTGAAGATCGTACTTGAATTTATTCATAAATAGTTCAAAAATAGTTCAAAAATAGTTTTACAGTAAAAAATAGTAAAAATGTTATATATAAAATTGCAAACCTACGGTAATTTTTTGGTTTTATCCCATTCGGTGATTTTATTCATTTAAAAACCAATTCACAAAAATCTTACTTTAAAATGCCTTTATAAAATATTTAAAATTTACTTTCACTGTTGAAATTGCCTTTCAACCCCACTCCCCCCCCCCTCCCTCTCTTGTCTAAATTTTGTCCCATCATGCACATGAAAAAATATAATCATACAGAACTTAGGAGCTTGATTGTTTTCTACGCAGAAATTTTGTAAACGCAATTTGTATAGTGAGGCACGGCTATGATAAACGATACAAGTATATGATCACGTAGGCAGATGATTTTAATATGTCTAGGTTAGGTTTGAATCTTATCTTTCCTGTTTATTAAAGTCCCAGGTCTGTATTATTTGTTGACATTAATACAGTTGTAATGGAGAGATATAAACGCCCACCTTCCCCACCCACGCACATGGGAACAGGCAAAACAAATATTATAGTTAATATGAAAATGCAACTTTATTTATGGCATGACCTTTCTAAAGCCATTCTGAGCACTTTAAGATATGAAAAGAGATTGGATAAATTTGTATCTATATCTGTCGACTGTATCTCGTCTCTGTCTATCTCATCTCTGTATGACTATGTGTCTGAGATGTATGTATGTTGGCACCAGTTGTACATCTGGGCAAATTGGGTTCACTATTTGGTGCATTAGAACATGTGTTTTTAACTTTAGTATTATATAGTGTAATGTACATTATACACAAAATATTTACTCTGTATTGTGTATTCATGTATTTGGCGTAACAAATACATGTATAAGAAGTAAATGTACATGTACATGTAGATTAATGTATCAGTCATTTTTAAATGTTTTGCAATTATTGTTAACAATGTTATGTACATTACAAGTACCGGTAGTATACAGTACAGATAGTGAGATATATGTCTCTTTTAAAAAAGAAATTAATAAATTGTTCTTAACAATTTCTCTAACTAATTCAAGTAGTGACATGTGCATGCACATGTACGTGTACTTGTATTTTAATGTTGTTTTGTTGTATTCTTTGTATTATTATGCTATGTTTGTATTATTTATTATGTATCATCATCATGACATTTAATGTGTTATACTCTCATACCCCTGAAGGGAGTCGCAAGAGTCAATAAATTCTATTACCGTATATTCTATTCTATTCTAGTAAATGACAGTACAAGTACACATGCATGTTTATAGGTTACGGTCAATATGTGCAGAGATGCTTACATTGTACAGGTGCACCTGTTTAATTCACTTACCAGACTACACTAAGAGGAACTTCTGTCATTAAAATATACTGAATTCTGCAGTATCTGATGTACATGTGCAGGATATGTAAAATTTAACAGCAGGTACATGCAACTACATGTACAGTGTTTTGGGCGACAAGTTATCGTTAATCTATAAACTTATCTAAAAGGAAATTTTCTTTTTTTTTCAATTTTGATTGATCGCACCTTCAAAAATTAATAACTTTCTTATTTTTCAATCAGTGTTTCCTCAAACTTCCAATGACCTGTTCTCTCATTTTCTGCTTCTATTAAAACCAACTTAATTTCAGGGTGGACTTCCCCTTTATTAACAGGTACATGGACATGTATGTATTTTATTAATTATTCTGTTTAAGTGCATGGGAGGTATTTATGGTGTACAAAATGCTTGGAGTTGAATGGCTATAGGCGACATCACAGTGTACTGAAGGAAATGGTATCATTGCAAAGGGGCATCAAAACTATTTGATGAGTTACCCTGGGTAAATAAAACAAAATGAATAAATAAATAAATAAATCCCTAATTTTATCTATCTTTTCCATTTCTTTAATGATATCTTCAGTTTCAGTGCAGGGGAAGTGTTTGTAGTCCACAACGAGCTTGGAGGTGGATGGTTGTGGGTGACATCACAACGGTCAGGAGAGAGTGGTATCATTGTACAGGATCTTGTTAAACCCGTGGTAAGTAGCGTCCTGTGGCTTTGTAAACCTATCACATTCCTTCCTTTGTCTCTGTTCCTCTTCCCCTTTTCTCATCCCTTTGTCTCTTCAGTTATCATGTCTGTATTTCCTCTACATGCCAATAGGGCTACAAATGTACATGCACCCTACCCCCCCCCCCCCCCCAAAAAAAAAAAAAAAAAAAAAAAAAAAATTACCCAAAAATATTATGTAATGTTCAGTTTTTAATTTGAGAATATAAAGATGTACTATTCTGTTTCAAGTTGTATTTACATGTATTTACATATGTAAATCTGTCTCCCAAGATGCTACCCACACTGGGTGGGAGAGCAAACTCTGGAATTACCTATTAAACAAATCTCAAAACTCGCCTCTTTTGTTAATAACATATGATTGTAAAGCACATTTGACCATGTATATGGAAAATGCACTATATGAATACATTATCATTATTATTAGTATTTAAAAATATATGTATGTGCATGTACAAACATTAAACTGATTTGGTATGTTTCTTTCATTATATTTTAGGAGGGAGAAATAGATCCTAATGAGGGCAAAGTGTAAGTATTATTTGTCAAGACTTGTACCTACATGTATGAATATATGAAATATTGAATGTTATTGATATTATTGAACTAGGTTTAGGGAGACAAAGCACTATTAAAAAGAAAAGAAGAAGAACAAGATGAATACGCTCTTTAGGGATTTTGATATCTCTGTAAAGCTACAAATTGAGATATATACAGTACATGTACATTTGAAGAACAGCAGATATTTCTTGATTTAGTCTGCAATATTTATTTTTTATGTTCTAATATTTTATTTTTCAATGCATCATTTCTACAGATGGTTTCATGGCAATGTGTCCAAAGAAGAAGCGGCTGAAACCCTTTGGAAAGGTCAGTATAATAAACAGAGGTCAGGGGGGTGTTTCTTAAAGACTAAGATCTACTTAAGTTGAACTTGAACTATGGCAGGCGATTTATGCTCTTAAAAAGTCTTGAACCAGATATAAAATTAGAGAGAAAAAAACCTTAGAAATGTTGATCTTTATTCTTTAGATGATGTTTTCCCTCAATAATAAAGTATCAAAAATGTGAATTCTGTAGATTTGTAACGTCCCTTGAGGAACCAAAGGTGAGAGCAACCAGTGGCATGATTGGCCTGCCATAGTTCAAGTCCAATTTAAGTCAATCTTAGTCTTTGTGAAACACCCCCCCCCCCCCAGGATTCATGAAGGTGTACTGACTTTACTAAAGCTCATGTTAAAAGTGGATAGAGCTTGACCACTGATTTTTCGAGCGCCAAGTGTCAACCTTTTCATTCAGTTATTGTTACTTGAGTCTGGAAACCAAATCAGTCACCAAAATTCTGGTTGTTTCAAAGGCAATATCTCCCTTTGATTTGTATTTATCGTTAAATTATGCGTGAAATACGTTTCATGGTAACACCGTCCACAATATATGGTACATGTACATGTACATGTATGTATATTTAGACCAAACTTATAGTAGATTATCTATGTTCTTGGGAGGTATTTGACGTTTGCAGGATAGAAAGGGTAAGCTAGATAAACATGTATGCGCAAATCAACCACTTAAATTTCTCTTTCTCTGAATTAAGTTAAATAGTACATGTACATGTAGAGGTGTCGTGTTCCAGTGGATATGTCCCTGGACTGTCGATCACAAGATCCGCGGTTCGAGTCCCGCCGCGGCATCAATGTCCTTTGGCAAGACATTGATCTACATTTGCCACAATCAACCCAGGTGATGTAAATAGGTACCTGGCAGGAATTAATTTTTTTGAAATGCTAAAGCGCCTTAATGGCAGCCGTGCTAAAGCCAGGGTAATAATTGGGAGTGCCAGGACTGTCAAGTCTGACGGACATGAGCGACAGACACGAGCGATTTACTAGAACCCACTATTATTATTATTATTATTATTACATGTGCCTTACATTTTGATTTTATTATTTTATATGTTTGTTTTTGCTGTTTAAAGATGGAGATATTGGAGGTTTCTTGATCAGAAACAGTGACAAGAACCCTGGCGATTACTCGCTCTCCTTCCGAGGACCCAACACCATTCAGAGGTTCCGAATCCAGAAACAACAGCGCCAGTATGTCATGGGAGGCAGATACTACAACAGGTTGGTATGGGAAGACGTGTGTGTGTAATTCGGTTTTTTACAGATATGTATTAATCAGATATGATTGTTTACGTCTGTGGACCGACCTTTAACATCACCATCCGAAAGACGTGAATAAGTTTTGAACCAGGGTCTGCCTGAGTCAGTTTGTAGGCGAAGACAGAGAGCAAACCAAGTGAAGGTCCCTAAACCAACTTACATCTCCATAAATGGTATGGGAAGACTGTTCCTAGTGACATTTTGTAATGTAACTCCACATGGTTTAGTTTCATGGAAGATCTTAAAGAGGTTCTTTGGCACATGTTCTGGCATCAGTCGCTTTGTTGACATTTTTTCTACTCTAACCAAAAATATCCCGTTTCACACCGGCACCCAACCCTAAACCTAACCCCAAACTCAACTGCAATTCTAACCATATCTATAGAAATCATGGATCAAATCCTGTGGCAAATCGTGGAGCAGAGTGAATATACAGTCACTCTACAGTGGCTTTAGTTGGTGCCAATTACATCTGATATGTACACAATTCTCTTCTGGACTACAACCCTCTCCACCCATCCCCCCCCCCAAGTAACTTCCCCTTGTTAATTTTCATGTTCAATGGTGTTTTAGCCGGAGCAACCAGTGCAGTTTCTGAGGGGTTCGTAGGGGGTAGTTTTGGGATAGTGGGGCATTTGTCCACTGGGTAGATGGCAAATGGTTGATAAATGTGCATGTTTCTTTTGTACTTCATTGCAGTCTTGATGCTATTGTGGATCATTACAAGAAGGAAGAGATCATTGATGGCTTCAAGTTACGTGACCCCACTGCACCTAAGGTACAAATACATTCGACTATCAGTCTCAGAATCACTGAAAATTTACTACAAAAATACTTCCATACTCTGTAGAGAAATGAAGGAGATCCATATTTTGCTTGTCTTTTATTGTGTCAATATTCTGTAATACCCCAAAACAAACACCTTAACACAGACAGTACCTATATTTTTAAAACATTATAATAAGGTTTATAACATTTTTAATCCTCCTGAAGTGAGATGTATTGAGAAAATATGTGTACTCTGGTGATGGTGATACATTTGTGATTACTATCTGGAACTTTTAGTTCAAACAAAATTAGTCTTGTTTTTACCCATCTTTTCTAAAATTTAGCTTTTCATAATATTCATTTATTAGATGACTTATGCAGTAATCCTCTTTAAATTTTTGAACTTCAGATTACATGAGATTGTGTAGAACTTGGACGAATAGCAAAACTGGCATATACAAAATACTTCATTAGTTTATCTTATACACTGTATGTACAGTCATTCTTACATTTGACTAATTCCTAGATATCCTGTCCATTGTCTCTGTAAACAGAAATTCAAGAACCAGACAACCAGCACGGAGGACTCCTCACCTATGAACTATGAAGAGCTACGGAGGAGAAGAAGCAGTGGGTTTGGTCTGCATATCATGACTGGTATGGCAGACTCTATCATCAAACAGGGACATCTCAGCAAGAAAAGTAAGAAAGTTTCCATACATTTGATGAGAAGTAGTCAAATTTGCTTGTTTAAAGCCCCTCTGCACTACTTATATCTACTTGCACTCTCTATATAGCAAACAATGTCTAATCAGTGCCTGTTGGTCCCCCATGATGCCCTTTTACTTATGTTACTTGAGAGCTGATTTGATGAGATAACCACCTGTCAGTGACCTTGCAGGGAGGTCTAATCCCCCCTGGCCAAACTAGTCAGACGGGCTTTAAAGCTAATCTTGAGCTCTGGTTTGGGCATCGTATGTCAAGAGAACATGGCTGTAATTCATTCTGGATTGTTTATCCTACAGAAGATTGTTTGAACCAGTAAAATAAAAACAAAAACTTGCTGGAAATCATCTTCAATTAAAACCATGATTCTCGTTTGCACATAGTGACCTACTTACATGTACCTTGATTGCCTAATCTTTCTATGCTCATTACTCAGCCCCTATACATTTTCTACCAAAATCATTCGCCAGTCATTTATTTGTAATCTGGAACATCCAGTGTAAGTTTTATTGGATTCTGTGAGAACTTTCTATCATTACTAGAACTCAAGCTTATCTTTAACAACTGTATTTAAACACTTTTTTTTTTCTTCCATGATATCGTCTGATGACAGGAAGTAGGATGTTAACTCTGTGTTAAAGTATACAACTTAATGACCTCCTGGCTCTCAACAGCTTATGTCTTTCTCATTCCAACTTTCTTCATGATAACATATTTATTTAAATCCTTGTAACATATTAAACAAATTTCTCTCCCATTTTTCTTTATTATATTAGGCTTCACATAGTCAATAAATCTTACCGTGTTGCATACTGAACAAAAATTTCACTGAAGTATCAGTACATCTCCATATGTTACAGACAACAGGTCTGTCTTCATCAGCTCAAGTTTGCCAAATAACCAGCTATTTTCAGACTTGTGATATTATCCCGAAGCTCGAAATTGCGTCTTCAACAGACTGATATGCTCATCACGAACTAGCTCGGACAGGCAAAAATTAGCCAGCTATTTCCCAAATAGTGGTATAATTTGGAAACAAGACCAAGATATCTCAGGATATTTTCTCGACAAAATATCCCACTAATTACATCTGCGGTTTGAGGAAGACGCAAATTAACTGATTAATTTGCGATCGGGATAGTTAAAATACCGGGTTATTCGGGTAACTTGAGCTGATGACGACAGGCCTAAAATATATAATTCAGGGCCTGTATGGATCCATGTCTGAAGATCATGTGAAATGTGTTTTTCCTAGTAATCATACCAGATATTTACTGCTGTATTTCCTGCAGGTCAAAAGCACAAAAAGTGGAAGACATACTTCTTCTTACTCAACGCCACAGAGCAACATTTGTACTACTTTGACAACGATGCGGTAAGTATAAAACAAAATGAAAACCAAAGGGTCTGATTAATATTAAGGTCACTACACTTCAAACAGATATTATAGAAACCAGTTCCACACCATAATCATGTTACTTAACAAGTTTATTTTTAGTGGCGTAATCTTTAAACCTAGATTGTCAAACATGGTCCATTTGGACATAGGGCCAGCCATTCTTGCAGTTTCTCTGATTAAAATTTGTAGGGAAAAATTCTGTGAATTCTATCTTTCCTCAAAAAATCTGTTACACTTTCACTAAAACTGGTATATTCTAAAATATCATTTGCAAAGTGGATATAATTTAATCTGCTATGTTCTTCTGTAATGCAAATTTCTAGGATGCTTTTTTTTCTTCTTCAAAAGAAGTTATAGTTTAACTCACAGACACATGAGTGAGTTGCCAATTCATCTAGTGATTTTCAATGTTTTCATGTCATTAAAAATGCATAACTTTTTTATAAGTTATCCGATTTTGCTCAAACTTTTTTTGATTGGTTTGTCTGATTTTTCTGCTTCAATTGAAGTAAGTTATTTTTGGAGTGGACTTGCCCTTTAACAATCATGACATAAACATATTAGCCACTTTTTTAATTTGGGAATTTGGTTTACTTACGAATTACCCCGTTATTTCTTTGTGACAGCGTACTAAGCCTAGGGGTCTGATCGATCTGGGTTATGCATCCGTCTACGCTGTCCATGAGAGTCTGTTCGCCAGACCCAACTGTTTCCAGATTGTGGTGAGGGCACTCAATGACCTGCAGGTCTTTTACCTTAACGCAGAGTCACAGGAACTTGAAAAGGTGAGATTATTAATAATAATAATAATAATATGGTTATTTATATAGCGCCGGTATCCGCCAGGCTCTGACGCTCATGGCGCTTTACACATATTACCCTGGTCATAGCCGAGCTGCCAAAGTAACTAGCGCTCAAGCATACCAGGTACCTGTTTACACCAGGGTGGAGAGTGGCAAATGTAGCTTAACGTCTTACCAAAGGACATTAGTGCGGTGCCGGGCCAATGCATTGTGGGCCAGAAGGCACAATAATTGGGGCATGGGACCCATTTCACGAAGCCTTATTTTCAATGACAAATGACAAAAAAAATCAGTGACAAATCCACTGATAACCAATTAGACGCAAGGATTTCACTAGCTTATAATAAAAACTGTCATTTGTCACTGATAATAATAATAATAATAGTGCACTCCAAATTTTATTACACCGAAACAGAAATTCTTTTTGCCCAATCGATCGTGAGCCCGGCAGCCACTGAGCAGCGCCAGATCGACGTTGCTCTATCCCTTATTGTTGAACGCCAAACAAGGTAGCAACAACTCCCATCTTTTAACATCTTTTGATGACAAGTTTTGTGAAATGTATTTCTTTGATTGGCTTTAAACCCATATTAAGAGCTCCTTAACTTTCTTTTTCCCTTAGGATCGTGAGCAGAGGCTTATGAATCAGCGTGTGCAAGGCCCCTCTTATTCAAGGGGCAATTTAAGTCTTGTAATAAGTTCATTTTTATGAAAGCGGAAAAATAAGATAAACAGACTGAACTGGTTCAGCCAATTTGAAGAGCCCTTACCTACAGTTCTAACAGCTTTCAAAAATGTATAATTATCTCTTTTTTTGTCCGATTTCATTCAAACTTTCACCAATCTGATTCTCTGATCTTTCTGCTTTCCTCTAGAGTATTTTGCTATCAAGATTGGATTTCCCTTTAACATAGTTATTGTTAATTTAGGGCTTTGTGATGATATTTTTGGAGTTGGTGTGTAAACACCCCTCCCCCACCTCTGTCACTGGCTATCCCCTGTCTTACATGTAGCTATAACTATTGGATAACAAAGGGAGAAAACCAAATTTAGACACTTTGTAATCAACATATAAGGCTGAAAAGCAACAACATTCATTATCTACCAGGTTACTGTATTTGACTAGATATACATGTAGTAATGAATACTGCACAGCTAATCTGACAATAGAGAGAAAGGGAACAGAAAGCTACAAAAAAGTAAATCTATATTTCATTAACTTTTTGTAACTTTATTGTAACAGGAATGGGTCCAGGTGTTGCGTTCATGCTGCAGCAAGGCCGGATGGACAACCCAGTCCCAACGAGGGAGTCGTAAACGGCGCGTCAAGCAACTCAAATCGCTTCGTCTGCGGATCCTTGAAGCGCATAACATCTCCAGCAAGCAGATCCCACATGCATACTGCGTGGTTTCACTCAACGAGGTCAAAGTGGGTCGGACGCCCGTACAGCAGGCCCCCAATCCCGTCTGGGATGAAGAATTCATGTTTGAGTAAGTCTAAACAGCTTCTTTTAGGTTAACCCATCGACTACTCTGATTTTTTTCTTCTGATTTTTTACCTTATTTTTCTCTTTTTTTTTTCTTCCTGTTTTTATCCCGATTTTTCCATTATTTTCTCTATTCTTCCCTATTTTTCCCTATTTTTCCCTATTTTTCCCAATTTTCTTACTCAAAAGAAGGGGAATGTTAGATGCCATTTTTTCCCCCGAATCCTCTTCTTTTTTTTCTTTTTACTCAAGAGGGGCGTGGTTTTTTTTTTAGTGCTCACTATCACCCCTGGTTTAAAAGGACCCAGGACTTGTCTCTTAGATACTGACAAATATTTGCCACTTTTGAATCCTGTTGCGTTACGTCAAATCTCTTTCCATTTCAGGCAGAATGAACATCTGCTATGACAACAAATTGAAGATGAGGGTTTTTTTTCAGAGAGTAAATACAATTAATTCTTGAAATTATTAAAGCAAAGTATGAATATAAGACTGGATGTTCTATTTTGAGACAAACGATGTCATGTACCTGGTGTTACTTTAAGAAACTAAGCCCTCAAAATTCTGTTTTAGCAGCTTGCTCTAGGCTTTATTCTGTCGGATCTGTAGGGTTATGGTTATCAATGACCTTGCTTATTGACTGCAGATCAATTGTTGCTGGGGCATGTGTTGTACAACTAGTAGTTTTTGACTGGCCATATTGTTTTTTGATGAGCTCTAATGTATTGAAATTTTTCTTTGTTCCAGTGACTTCCCTGATGAGATTGATTCTTTCACCATTGAAATCTGCAACGGTGCTAAGAGAGCCAAGCCCACTCCCGTCTGTAGGACGTCCGTCCTTCTTGACCGCTTGACCAACGGGTCAGTGTCGGATGAGTGGTATCCACTCATATCGGCTGCCAACCAGAGCAAGTCGGTGGAGATGGGATCGGTACGAGCGAGGGCGCAGTTTATTTCAGAGACCCTGATGCCAATTGAGGAGTATAGCCCACTCAAAGAGGTAGGCTCACTCAATATTGTTGGAGATACATTTGCCTTTGTAACGTTTGATATGTCAGTAGTCTTAAAACCCATCTGCACTAGTTTGGCCAGGAGGGATTAGACCTCCCTGCATGGTCACTGACAGGTGGTTATCTCATCAAATCAACTCTCAATTAACATAAGAAAAAGAGGGTCATGACGGATCAAAGGGTACCGCTTGGGCATTGTTTGCTATATAGAGGGTGCAAGTAGCTACAAGTAGTGCAGTGGGGCTTTAAAATTATGATAATGAGCATTAGCAGAGCATTGTGAGAGAGAAAAACTGTTTGATGTATTAAAGACATAACAACAATGATAATGATAACATTTGGTTATCATAATTATGCTTATTGTAATTACCCTCAGTGCTGGCCTTGCCAAATTACCATAGATACCATCATCTTCAAAGTCAGCATCACTATCATTGTTACCATCAACTTCATCAAAATGGACAACCAACATCATAATCAATACTACCAGCACCATCATCATTATTATTCACCATCATCATCAACATCATCATCATCATCATCATCACAATAATCACAGTCAACACCAACATCATCTTCTCCATCATCATTATTATGACATGAACTGTACCTTTACTCCTGTGATATTTTCATCTTACTATCATCATTATCGTCATCATCATCATCATAATCATCATTATCGCTGTCATCAACATCAACATTAACATCATCATCATCATCATCATCATCATCATCATCATCATCATCATCATCATCTTCACCATCATCATCATCACCATCATCATCATCACCATCATCATTATCGTCATCATCATCATCACCATCATCATCATCATTATCATCATCATCATTATTATCATCATCATCTTCATCATTATCATCACCATCACAATAATCTCAACCATCACCAACATCATCTTGTCCATCATCATTATTATGACATGAACTTTACCTTTACTACTGATATTTTCATCTTACTACCACCACCACCACCACCACCAGCATCGTCGTCATCATCATCATCATCATCGTCGTCATTGTCATCATCATCATCATCATTGTTATTGTTGTGACATTCGATATCAGTGTCTGTTTTATCTCTTTTCTTTGTTGTCTGCAGCTGATCTTTGAAGATGCTGCGTACCAGAACATCTTTGCTCTGGAAGAGGCCTGTGCCAAGGATAGAACCCATCTTGCCAGTGTTCTCCTGGACATCTTCATGCACCAGAGGAAAGAGATCTCACTTCTCAAGAACCTTAACTCAAGAGAGATTGAAAAAGAAGGTGAGCTCTCAACAGTGTTGCTAGCAGGGATGAAAGGATATTAGTGTATGATTTAAAAATTAAGAAAGTGTAGAGTTGTAAGTATCTTATTTCTCATGGAACCTCACTTGCAAAGACAGTGCAAAAGTAGGTACATTTCAAGCAGCTCTAGATACTTTACTAGTCTCAGCAGTGTGGAAAGAATTCATACTCTAATTAACATTTCATCCAAGCGCACTGAGGTGAATTATATATTATATATAAAAGGAATCCTATTTCAATAGTCCGATTGCATGTTTTATATATATATATATATATATATATATATATATATATATGTTCTATTTTGCTTTGCCAGACAAACCTGAGATAAGTTTGGATTTGTTTAGTTTGGATGTTCATTAAAATTTGAGAACATCTGTGACCTGCATTATTAAAATGTTGGGATTAAAGTAACAGGTTTCAGAGTTACATTACTTAATGCCACATAGAGCAGCAGGGCTCTGTTACATAAACATAAATGGTAACTTTGCTATCAATGGCAACTACCATGGTAACAGGGCTCAACAGCCAATCAAAATCAAGTTTTCCATGGTAGTTACCATTGATGGCAAAGTTACCATCAATGGTAAGTTTTGTGCAACGGGGCCCAGATATTGTATAGTTATACCAATAAAAGTTTTTTTTTTTTAAATGGAAAAAAAGGAGTTCGCCGATTATGATTCTCTTTTACTGTGACTTTTTTTTCTAGCTGAAAGAACAACCCTGTTCCGATCCAACACCCTTGCCACGACCCTGATGGACAGATACATGAAGACCACAGCTCAGAAGTTCGTACAGCATGCTGTGGGTGGAGTCATACTCAAGATCATGGAGTCAAAACAGTCTTGTGAGGTAAGAACACAATCAAAGAAGAAGAGGAGATACAAGTTTGTTTTTCTTTCTGTTATCTGCTGCCTGCAAGTGACTATGATGTACTTAATGTAGTATCATTTACTTGGAGATTGATAAGAACGAAGGTTAACAATTTGAAGTCATAATTAAAGTTTTCCATCCCATTGTTTGTACATAATTTATGATAATGTGTAATCGATCACTAAGCTAATGTAACTACTCCAGTGCCAATCATTACAGAATAGAGTACTATTGAAAATCTACTATTTAAATTGAAGTAAATTGTATTTATTGATTTCTGTAAAATGAATCAAAGTAAGCACGTGTGTAAGAAATTTAAGATTACATTTTTTTTTATCAGAAAAGGATCTGATACCTTGATTGATAGTGACAAAGTCTCAAATAATTTTAAAACATGCTTTAAGTGACACTTCTTACGAAGTATGGGCAGCCTGATTCCAGGGGAGTGATCCTCCAGATAGAATGTATGGAGTCTGTTCATTAATGTTTGATTAAATGTACAACATAATTGTACCAAATCTTTTATCTACCATGCCATTGAAAACAACAGAAAAAGAGCCGTGCTCAGTTTTAGGCAGTGACACACTGACAACATAAAGAATCAAAAAGCAACTTTCTGCCTGTTGTCTATGTAGTTAAATCCACAGAAGTTTGAGAAAGGAGCAGATGCGACCGAGAACCTGGAACATTTACTAGGATTCCTCAAAGACATCATTGAATCCATCTTCAGCTCTACCAATGCTTGTCCAAGGTAGGTAGACACACATGTAGCACTTAGTAACTTCTTCATGAGCCTTGCTAGAAACATTGATAACCATTGTCCTATTGTGTAGCAACTCTGTTAGCAAGCGCACGATCTAGATAATTAATTAATATACCTTTATCTTCCTCAATTTCTTCCTCCCACAGTCTTCCCTGTGAAATATACATTCTTTAACTTGAGTTCTTACAGAATAATATCCAGGAAGCTATTAAAATCAAAATTAATGAAGGTGTTGTTGTCAGTGAATAAGTCTCTGGACTGCAAACCAGAAGGTACCGGGTTCGAATCCCGCCGAGGCACTAATGTCCTTTGGCATTTGGCAAGACATGAATCAACATTTTCCACACTCCACCCAGGTTTAGTTAGTGAGTTACCTGGTAGGATTCATTTCTTGAATGAACTGAGCGCTATGGTTTGCCAGAGCTAAAGCCTGGATAATGATAGCCAAAGTCCTTTTGAAACGCATAGAGATGTTATATCATAATGTAATATGCACAATAAAAGAAAGGCATGTTATTTGCATCACTAAAAGAAATTTACCATTCTCTGAAAGCATCTCTTTCCTAATTTCTGTCTCTGGTTTGTTCTCTACTGCTGCACTCCACACCACATGCGTTCATGTTTTTTCTGTTAAATGCACTTTGTATCTTTTAAAGGGCAGATTGTAGATCAAAATATTACTATTGGTCTTTTTCTTCCTTTCTACAGGGCATTACGATACTTGTGCGCTTGTATTCAGACAGATGTGAAAGCAAAGTGGAAGGACGACCCAGTCTTGCCAGCAAGAGCTGTAGGGTGAGTTTAATGGATATCTTTGTCATTAAACTACTGGATGAAAAGTCTAAATAAAAAGTTTAATATATGAATTTGTTCACAATAAGCCAGTTCATAGTTGCAGTCTGCGCATAAGCAGATAAAGGTCATTGCAGACCAAATTGTGGAATACACTTAGACAAAATACTGGATACGTGCTCATGAAAATTATGTAATCATTATTCATTTATGCACAAGCAGTGCACTCCACGATACACAGGTGGAAGTATTCTTTGAAAAGGGGAATCAAAGGCTATTTATGTAGCACCTCCATCGCAAGGTACGCGGTTCGATCCTGCCGCGGCACTGATGTCCTTTGGCAAGACATTGATCTACATTTGCCACACTTCACCCAGGTGAGGTAAATGGGTACCTGGCAGGAAGGAATTCCTTGAACGCTGTGAGCACCGAAACCGGTAGCCTAGCAGAGCCGGGGTAATATTGGAGCGCTTTGAGCACCATGCAGGGTGGATATGTGCGCTATATAGATATCCAATATACTATTATTATTATTATTATTATCACTGTAGGATTGATTATTTCAAAATGTACAAAGTGGGAGCCCTTCAAGTTTTGAAGATCTGTGGATATTCAGGGTCACTTGGGACATGTGCTAACCGTGAACTGGTCTTTTTAAAAACAAGTGTCTAAGAGGCACAAATGTTATTTAGATATTACAAGCATCAATGATGTCTGGCAGAAAAAAATGCTACTATTTCATTTATATTTGTTAAAGTAAATTCAACTTGACTTATATCTGATGCACTTTTGTATCAATTGCAGAGGATTTATATTCCTACGATTGATCTGCCCAGCTGTCTTGAACCCACGACTCTTCAATATTGTATCAGGTAGGTTTTCTCAATGTTAGTTCAATACCGATATGGGTTTAGAGTAATCTACAGGCAAGTAATTATGTGTGCATTTTCTCTAATTGCTTCTCCTTGTATGAAGTGTGCGTTAAAGAGAGTGTTAAGTATTGATGAGGATGAATGAATGATTTTGCAACTCTTTTTCTCTCTCCATTTCGAACATAAAATATGAAAATAATTGTACATAACGCAATGCTTTCATATACATGGATATATGTGTAGTAATAAATGTGTAATGTAGTTATTGCGACATGACCTTGTTTTTCAATCCATGGCCCAAACTGCTTTGTGTATCTGCTCCCCTGATGTTAGTTTGCAATCTGGTATAATTCTTCCAGACGTTGTTCATTTACCTATATACTTTGATTTTGTTTTGATATTGTAAATACAATTTTCCAATACATTTCTTATGTGCACAGAGGCCCCATCACCAGTAGCCTGTAGAACGCTGATGATGGTCGCCAAGGCAATACAGAATCTTGCCAATCAGGTCGAGTTTTCCAAGGTGAGGAAGAGAAAATGAATGTTGATGTTGATTTTTAGTGCACATATTTTCATGGCATGTTGAAAAAGGGAAGATATCATGATATTGTACTAATAATACAAGATGAAAGTGTCTAGAAGCTAAAGATTGATTTCACCTCTAGGGAAATGTCAATTCTCTAGCAGAGAGAGAAGCGATGGTTGCAAGTACACCAGATAATGTGTAAATGTTTAGTAAAAAATATGTAATATTGGTGAGCGCAGAAGTTTAAATGAATCTTTATGTGGACAAATTACATTGAATGCATAACACTCTCTGTAACATATACATAGGTATAAACCTTGTGAAACCAGTTACTTTTATGTTGCTTAATGATTAGAGGATGTCAGAGTATTTGAGGTAGTTAATAAGATATTTATCACAATGATCTAGGAAACAGTTATGTGCAATGCATCCATAATGCCTATAATCTATTTATCTGCATTATGTATTTATTTGTTTTCCTTCATTTCTTAGGAGCCCTACATGGAGGCCATTAATCCATTCATTGTGATCAACAAGGGAAGGATGATTCACTTTCTCACAGACCTCTGTGTAAGTATTCATTAACTCATCAGAAATATGGATTTCACTTACCGTTAACAACTAAATTATTCATACCCCTTGTAATTTCGTCTTTATTTTTTTTTGTAACTCAACAATGAAAGGTGGACTGGTTAATTTAGGGCCTTTCTTGAATACACTTTTATATTAAATCTCTAATATGTCACATTTTCAAGAAACATAACCTGGGACACATAAATTTTTCACATGCTTAAAAAAATGCAAAAATTGGTAAGGGTATGAATAATTTACTTAATTACTGTATGTCAAAGAGCATTGAGACTAGAAGCGATATGTAAACGGTTAGGAAAGTCAGTTTTAGAAAATGGAGATGAGAGCTGTGTAATGTGTGTAATGTTTGGAAGCAAAACAAGAACATTATGGATTAGATTTAAGCAAATTGAAAATCCTGAATGAGTAGATGTTTGACAGTGTGCAGAATAATATATGCAGAACCATTCCTTTGATAATTATTTTGACATCATCATTTCATCTTGAAAAAAAGGATATTATTTGAAGATATGCATTCGTTTGAAACAAACATGTATCACATTGAAAGGTAGCTGTGATGATAGATTTGACTGAAACAGATTTGCAAAAGTTATGTGATAAAGATTGTCTTCATAAACAAGTAACGTTTAAAGTTACAGAATGTATTCTCGTCTTTATTTCATGACATTGATGCGTATTGCAGCTTGTGAACGGCCCACCGACACCGGGTGATGTACCTCCTATAGACCTAGCCAGGCAGCTAGCAGCTCTACATCAGCTATGCGTGACACATCTCAAAGAACTACAGCAGCTCAGTACAGTACAGGTCAGTCAAAGATCTTTGCTATTCCCTCTGACTGTACGATGCATTCATCTTGGTGATCACACGATGCATTCGCCAGGGGATGAATGCTAGGCAGTCCATTTCCTACACTAACAAATTTCCTGAACTTCAAGCCTAGACCAAACAATGTGCCAACCCTAACCCTAAAACTAATACTTTCCTAAAACCCAATTGCAACCCTGACCCCAATACTATAATATCTTTGATGACATATAAGGCCTAGGGACTGTTTCACAAAGACTAAGATCAACTTTAAGTTAGACTAGACTATGGCAGGCCGTTCATGCCACTGTTTGCTCTCACCATTATTATCTGTAGATAAAAAAAAATTCCTTCAATAATGAATTATCAAAAACCGTAAATTCTGTAGATTAGTGACAATGATTTGTACATCCTTTGAGAGACCAAATGCCATTTAATGGTGAGAACAAACAGTGGCATGAACGGCCTGCCATAGTTAAGTCGATCTTAGTCTTTATTAAACACCCCCCAGAACAATTATCACAGGAGATATGTGGGAGCACCAGATATCAAAATGCATACCTGCCAACCTTTTATTGTTTAGGAGGAGTGATTGCCTACGATGGTGACTTTCAAACTAACACAAATCGTAGATTCCTATTTTATTTTGTTGAAAATTTATGAATAAAGCATATGAACCAAATCCAATGATGTTATTCAACGTACTTAATTAATATTTGGTATTATTTTCTCATTACATCTAACAGCCAAGTCTGAAGAAACTGCTTGGAGTGACAGAGATGCTGAACCAGAGGAAGATCTACTACGTCGGGCAGCAGACTGCAAACTCCGGATTCGGAACTTTGTCATAACTTGCAGCTTATTTGCAAGGAACTCCATAGGTCTGTCTTCTTCTTATGTCACGGTATAATATCACTGCAGTATATTTTATTTGGTACGTTGTTAGGATGGTATTTATCCATGGTATCATTTAAATTCCCCCCTCCCCCCTTGTCATAGTGTGATCTTTTTTATGTAACCCCTTATGATATTTCTTTCTTTAATGAATGTGGAGGGGGTGTTCAATGTACTTGCCATTGTAAAATTAGGGTACCTTTTAAGAATTGATCAAAGAGAAATACTAGTAAATCATGTTTACAAATCTGGCTCATGTCTTAGAAAATAATGCGTAATGAAATTGATTTTCTTGTTGATATACATCATTTTTGCATAAGAACAGATGTTTTGTTGTAAATGGTATTGATTGCATATCTGATATTTTTTATTCCTATTTATTGTGCTTGTTTTGATAATGTGGGAATAATTCATGACAAGTTTGTATATCTGGATCTGTAATTTTGTGATTTATTCATCCTTTTCTTTTGCGCTATTGTCAATATACCGTTTTATGCTGCATGAAAAATCTTTTTTTAAGGCAGATACAGAGAGAAAGAGCATCTCACACACACAAATTATTGGTGCATCCCTCTGCAGGCCAAATACCCAAAAATGTGTAATGTTATCTAGAAATAAATATTGTTTGAGAAATTCCCTCAATATACATTGGCCTGAAAGTTGCTTTTCATGATATTGTAGTGTCTGCTTAATTTTAAATAACTAATAGAGATGGCTCATCACAAACCTAATACCAGTACGTACATGTAATCGCAGACTGCATCAACATGATTTCATCTCTTTCTCTATTACATAACAATGTGGAGCAGATAAGGTGCTACAAATTAAATGTCTGGAAAATCCACAAGTCTCAACATCATGTTAACGATCTTCCTCTTTTATTGTAGGGTTAGGTGTGTCCATAATAAACAAATTTGGAATAAGTGTTTATACCAGTTATTCAGAAATTCTTCCTTTTTTTGTTTTTAAATGGGTTTTGGTCCCATAGTCTTCCTGCTATCAAGTCTAAGTTTATGTTGCAAATTATTAAAAAGAATTCTTTGTGTATCCCAATTGCCCACCTGTTGCACAATCTACCAGAGCTTCCTTTGCCGACGCAGAATTCAAATTATTTCAAAAGACCCACCTTTGCAATTTGCAACGCAGAATTAGCAAAGCTAAAAAAAAAAAAATCTAGACACTCATTCAGTCTATCATGGAAAAGACTGAAGCAATATTTGCATTGTTTGCAGATAGTAAGCAGTATATGTTTGTAGAATCAATGGCTTAATTGATCAGTTCAGTGTTTCTGATCATCTTGGTATTTTTTTTGTGATGTTGTCGTGAAGTGTGATATCTATGTGAGGTTTTAGCAGCTCAATATATTGTTTTGAAAGCATGAAATTTTAAAGGTTTTAATCAGCGAAATATTAAATTGGAGAGATCAGCAATCATGGTATTATCTACAATGGTTTAGTGAATGGATACCAATTAACCCCCACCTAATATTAAAGCAAACATTAACAGCAAAAGACCTTGCTTATATATCTGCAGCTGATTTGGTTATTTCTTTTGTTTTTCATTCTGGAAAAGCAGATCTGAGCATTTTATTTTATTTCAGATGATTGAAAAAGCTGAGGTGAAAAACATTTGTTCAGATTCTAACAAATCTGGAATGTCTGCAATATATTATCAATTAGGAGCCTCACCCTTTTGACTCTTCAATCTCAGGCTGATCTTATACTTTCAGGGTTTCATTCTCTTTCTCCCGTTTGTTTTTTGTAGTTGAATCTTGTTATGCAAACATGTAGTCTGCCAGTGGATACAACTACAATTTCAGAAATGAACTGTGAAGAAAAATCTTAATTTTCTCTCCATGGTACAGTCAAACCTGTCTATGAAGACCACCCAAGGGAAACAGAAACTGTGGCCATTGTAGACAGGTGGCCTTTCTATACAGGTTCTACAACATACATATCCCTCTCGAAGGAGACAAAGATGCATGACCACTGTAGACAGGTGGTCTTTATAGGGAGGTGACTACTAAGACAGGTTTGACTGTATAACAAAATGCTACACTTTTTCTTTTGACACTCAGGAAACTGTTGAGTTTTTTTCAATGATTTTTACTTATGTTTTCTATCAGTGTGCTTTGATTAAACTAGGGATGACAATTGTGGATTGACATTTGACTTTGAATCCATGACATTTTTTGTTTAAAAGGTCAACGTTATAGTGTTGTTAACACCTGTGAAGGAAAATTATTTTGAACATGTACTGAGCTTTTGAAGATGAATTAAAGCTTACCAATTGCCAATTTGAAACAAAAATCTGGTCAGTTGTGACACTATTTGGTATCTGTGATATCTCCTGTACCTATGTATAGAAGCACATGGTTTTTAAGTGTAAATTTGATTCATTGCACTAGGTGTTTGTTAATGTAAAATAAACTGAATTTATGCTTGTTAAGGTTGAACATACATATATATACCGGTAGCTCATTGTAGGAGACACTCATCAAACTTGGGCATGCTACATGTATAACTCAGAATTATTAGGTCCATAACAAGTATGGTTTGTAAAGGTAGACCATACGATTCAACAATCACAACTTCAACTCCATGATTTAGTGTTGATTCTAACAAAAATTATCAATTTATCTGTATAAGGGCATTATTAGTTCAATCTTTAAGGCTACTTGAGATGTAAGAATCAACACACATGGATTTGGACAGTAGAATCAAATTGTGGGGGGGGGGGGGGAGATGATACATTCAGCCAATTGAGACTGCTTTCAAATTAGGAATGACTGTTACACTTCTTGGGTTCAGATATCTATTTGAAAAGTAGTAAATGGGGTCAAAGTTTTAAAGGAGTCAGATATTTTACTTCTGAACCCAGTAGCAGCATAAAAAGCAAAGCTGCTCTCTTTATAGCAGTCATGTACAATATCACTAACCAATCAAAATACATGGGATTGAGATAGAATATTTAGATATTGATTCTCCTTGGTATTGTAAATGATTTCAGTATACATGCAGCCATTGGCTTGGTTATTTAAGGAAATTTATATGGTATTGAACAGTGTAAAATTTCAGACAGTATAGATGATTGTCAAGCCCCATAATTTCTGCAGTCAAAGGACTGCATTACTAGTATGTAATACGTGTAGCATATTTGAAATCCCTGCTATGTAATTTTTTCTTTGTTCATATTGTCTGTTAGGAGCCACAGGATGGTGATGGAGATAATTCAACACAGATCTAACGCCCTTGTGCCTCAAAAGGGACAATACAATCATTAAATTTGTGAAGTAAAGCTAGATGAAATTCATATAAAGGAAGGGGTAGGTTTCCCCAGCCCCCTCAACAGATCATTTCAAATTGTGCAATATTACAAAATTTGTCTTCTCATTTTAATACATAACAGGGGAACCGCATTATGTATCATACATTTTCAAGAATACTTTGAGACATGTTTAATTGTTGGCTTATGATCAAATTTTGCATTGTGATAATTTTGTTTATGCTTGTACTATAAATGTTATGCTTGTACTTCAGATTTTTATTAGATGACTAGAATTGAGAATAGTACTTTTGGTATTTTGCACAAATAAAGGTTTAAGTATTTCATTTTGTATTTTTTGTTTGCATGGAGAATGCTTGTAAATGTGCTAAAGAAGTCAAAATATTAGCTGAGAATGTTTAAATAAGAATGATTCCCCGAGATGTATTCCATTTAGTGAAATAGTAAATGATTTCACCATACATGTATATATTTTGGATGATGCCCCTCTTTTACATTTTTTCCAGGCTATTTTTCATGTTTATTTTTTTTGTTTTCTTTTTAAAATATACAAACAAAGAGGGTGACATTGGATTTTGTGTTTGTTGCAAACCTGTATTTAGTAAAAATTGAAAAAATGTTATAATTTAGTTGCAGGAATTGTATACTGTGAACTGTTCATGATTTCTTTCACACCCAACTCTTTGTACATTGTGTGCTAAATGTAAATCAAGGTCATTTTTTACGATGTATGTTTGGTAGAACATCACAAACTTTTTGAATTCTTACTCATATATGCATCTTTGTTAACAGGTATCAAACATTTTTTTAAAGTAAACGTAGCAGTAGAGTTTTAGTTTGTTTCCTTTTTGTATTCTTTTTAAATCGATATGTATATGTTTGTATATTTGTGTGTGAGAATATATTGGAATTACATGTATTTATTGTACTTGCGATTTTCAGTTCAGTGCTTCAGTAATTTTCTTTTTTCTTTCCATCCAGTCAGGATGGGAACTGTACATTTCATGGTGTTTCGGACAGGAAAACAACAAATCATTTACGCAATACACGTGGACAGGCATTTAGATAGATCTATTATTACATGTATGCATTATTTAGTTTCTTTTATATGGAATGATTGTTTACTGGTCCTACCCTCAGAAGTGTAAATGAAATATTGATTTTAATGTGAAGTACTATCTAACCATATTGTCATACCCTTATGCATTATACTCCTTTGTTGCTCATTTATGGTCTTGGTACCGAAATGCTTGTCCCAATAATTAGTATCAAATTGTAGCCCTTTTTCTTATTCTCTATCTAGTAATCTTTATGTATAGAGTGTATAAATCTATGGAAGTCGTATGGAATTAAAAAATACCCAGTCTGATTGAAGAATGCAATGTTTTTACTTGTTCTTTGTGGTGTATCAGATCTATGAAAATGTTGTAGCATGTAGAGTACTATCAAAATAAGAGTCTTATTTGTATAGCACTTAATACAATTTTTCAAAGTGCTTTTACTTTTTTATTATTATTACCCTGGCCATTGGATTTAATTGCTAATACACTCATGAAAGTGCCATTAGCGCTTACAGATTTAAGTGCCAGAGACTTTCGGTGCCATTAGCGCTCAGAGACTTCGATGGTAAGCGCTTTACAAGCACTGTTTTTTATTATTAATTTTTTTTTAAATAAATATTATTTTACAAGCGCAAACATGCCAATCCAACCCTATGAACACTAGCATCCTAACGGGAACCCATTAAACAGTTGGGTGGAGAGTGGCAAATGTTGGTTGATGTCTTGCCAAAGGACACTAATGCTGTTGTGGGACTTGAACTGCGAACCATGCAATCCAGTCCTGTGACTTATCCACTAAACCATGACACTTCAACAAGTACTAAAATGTGGGTATCACTTTCCCCATTCTTTGCATGTATTCTGATGCACCCTATATTCTTACAGCACAAATGAATACCTATATCAGCCTCTTTCATTATTGCTTGATGGCTAAAATGTCGACTTTGAGTGAGTTTTTTTTCTTCCAATTATATCTATTGCACTTATAAACATAGCATAAAGCTTACAATTTTGTTTTCTTCTTCTTCTCCGTCTTCTTGTCTTCTCCTCCTCCTTCTACTTCCTCTCTGACTCTCTCTCTCTCTCTCTTTCTCTCTCTCTCCGAACTTGTGATCTATTATGATCTTATCAACCAGTAATTAACTACCGGTAGCTCCAATAAGAAAATCACACATACAACATCATTTTGAATATTTCATCACATCATTTTTAATATTCCCGATAAATAAACCTGTGCACAAATTATACTGCTACTTTGAAATAGTGATTATTTTCTCCTAAATATGTCATACATATGTAAAGCTGAAACAGAATACCAAGGAATCACACAAGTCCTAAACATGAACATGAAAAATCAAAAGTGAACCGATGTGCAAAACCTACAAATCATTGTATACACTATACACAAAACAAATTATTCATTGTGCGAGTACATACTTCCGATACGCTATGGTATCTTTAAAAACTCTTAAGGGAAAGGGAGTGCTCTGGTGAATGCTTGTCAAAGTAAATTCAAGTGAATTTATACCATCAAGAAGACACCAAGATACAAGGAGTAAAAATGTACATGTATGAATGGTGAAAAGAGGTTCTAGATGATGAAATAACATGTACATTACAGGGAATCCCTTTATTACAAAGTCCAAGGGACAACAAAGCATTTTTTTATCGGCAGATTTTGCAAAAAAAATTAAAGTCTTCTATGTGAAGAGTTTCTTGCTTTATACAGCATTTTAATATACATGTAGAGGGCTTTGTAATAAGGGGATTTTACTGTACAGTACTAACAGACATGTTAACGGTATGTAGGTGCTTTGAATGGAACGGTTAATTTCAAACTGATAATATTTGTTCAACAAGAAATATACACAAGTGGATTCCTTCAGCTTAAATATGTTCAACAAGTGTCCATTTATCAACACTATCCTAAGGCACAAATTTCAATTCCTTTCTGGCTAACTCCATGACAAATTTAAATATACATGTATTATTATGCAATTTATTTTAGTTCATACCAATAGCAATAATATTCATAATCCGCACACATCCACCCCAGTGATGCTCAACGCGCCTAACAAGGTACAAACATAAATATGAGTGAAAACACAGGCCAACTCAAATCATATCATCATTCATAATATACAAATAGAGAAATTTCTTTGTATTAACATTAACACATTTCATTTACAGTATCTACTAATTATTGGCTATGTAAATGCTGTAAAATGATATTTTAGGTTAATTTATGCTCATTATTTCATAATACAATGCAATAATACTTGGTAATGTTTGGGACATACCTTGGACTTTTCCTATCTACATTTGCCACTCTCAACTCAGGTGACATTAATCGTATATAATCTGGTATGACAAAAAAAACCTTGAATGCCATATTTTGGGTATAGCTCAGCTAAAGCTAGAGTAATAATTTTGATACTTAGAATCAAGCACATGACAGAATACTTGGATAGTGTCTGCGCTACAGAAATGTATTCTTTTATTACACTGTATTTTCAAAGACTTATAACAGCAAATAAGAGAAACAGAGCGTTAAATCATATGTATACTTGAAATATTTTTTCTAAACTTTATAGGGTTGAAACAAAACATAAAATGCTATATGTATTTATACATGTTTACAAAATAAGAAGTGTTTCAGATATGGATAAATGGTTGTACAGAATTAGATAATGCTTTCAGGAATCATTATGATTTTTAAATTTAGTAGCATGAGCTGCCCTGGGAAGCTATATGGATTAAACTATATTGATGTTTCCCCTTCAAATGAAATTTCCCTCTTAGGGATCTCCAAATAAGTCAACACTTTCAGATTTTCAGATTTTCAAATTCAACAATGTGAATAGAATTGTAAGGTCAGATACAAGTTTATTTGTATTTTTTTTTTTATTAATCAAAGAAGCCATAAAAAACAAACAAACAAAACAAACAAACAAATTCAGTGGACATGTTCTCTTCTCTTACTAAAATTAAGATTTTCTTTCGCAAATTTCTTCAACTGCTAATACTGAAAATAACCTTTCCTCCCTAAAGAAAAATATAACAAAAACAAAATGAGAATTGATGACAATATAGCATCCTGTAGAGAAACAATATGAAAAAAAATAAATTCCCACAGCAAAAACCAAAATATGATGCAATTGCGAATACCAGTATCCCACAATCATGAAGAATCAAATTTGCAAAGTCAGGAGAAAATAATCCATTTTTTTTAAACCTTATATATATATATGGCAGTGCTATGGCCAAGTCACATTTACAATGAAATAGTCAAATTGATACAAATTTAATTTGGGTAAATGTTGAATAATGATTCATGACAGCAAAATACAATGACCTAAAGACCAAGATGTTACTAACAACTCTTAGGATAAATATAAAGCAAATTCTTTCATTTCTATAATGTATATATTTTTGTATCATTCATCGAATCAATTATTTTATAATTGCACAGTGCAAACAGAATAGACTATAATGTATACCGTATGTGTTGTTTACATTGGGAGGGCTCACACTAATTCCCTGAATGTAAATGCTCTTTACAATTCTCAAATCGAGGTTTGAAAAGATTTTAAAAGATTTCAAATCATTTCTTTGTACACAATCAAAATCATGTGCCAAGAGTCAGAATAGTATTCAGCTTGCACAGTCAAATCTGCTTTAGTGACCACCTGTCTACAAAGACCACATTTTTTGTTTCCCTTGAAAATGGTTTCTCATTGAAACATGTACTATATGAACCTGTCTACAATGACCACTTTTCTTGTCTCCCTTGGGCGGTCTTTATAGACAGGTTCACTGTACCATTGAAATAGAGTTGAAGACAATCTGACAATCGAAATGATACAACTTGAACTTAAAGCAGCTGTTCCGATCATCAATACTATAATCACCAATATTACGCTATCAAGATGAAAGATTAATTGCAGAAAGTCACAAAACATATCAAAATGAATAGGCAAATATGGAATGATATAACCAGCCACATTTCTACCAGAAAAACAAATATTTGTGTAGTACTAGGTACATGTATCGTCCAATTGAATGCACCGCATAGATTGAACAGGAGAATACACTGTCCCCTTGATATTTCTCTCTACATAGCTGAACATGCACAAGTACAGTGTGTATACATTCAGTTCTTGTACATCTCTGCAGTACATACGCATTACTTATATGCACAGTTCGGCCTTGCATAGGGGAGTCAAATTTTTGTTTGTCATCAGGCATTCTTGCATCACACCACTTTGTTAGCCAATGAATATAAAAGAAATAAAAACAAATTATCCAAACGTTACAACGAACAAAGACATACTGACAATATTTCTTCCAAACCAAACCAAACCAAATTTGTAAGCTCAGCTACCAGACCCAAGTTTTATCTCAACAAGTATAGGGTGTACTAAAAAAAATGTGCGAAGAAAACCATATTCCCTCATATGTATAAGTACAATGTTCATTCTGTTTCATTATTACTCTTAAGTCTCTCCAGTTCAAAGTACGTCATCATATCAAGCAGGGTTTAGGTATTTCAATCAAACTTGCTTACAGTGACCACCTTCATTTTTGTTTCCTTAGAAGTGTGTTTCTCTGTGAAACCCCATTTGAAGGTAACCTGTGCATAAAGACCACAAGTCCATGAGCAGCTGTTCTGTCGCCTGAAATCGGTCTATACATACTTGCTTTAGATAATTTTGTTGACATAGTTACCACAAGTAGCCTCAGATAGCCTCAGGTAGCCTGAGCCGGTGGTTTATTTAAATTGAATCTTTGGCTTTGTGGTGAAAGCTCTGACATCATTATCTTGCAATCGAATGAAAAATTTTGCAATCGAATGAAAAAACTTGCAATCAAATGAAAAATCTTGCAATCGAATGCAAAATCTTGCAATCGAATGCAAAATCTTGCGATCAAATGAAAATATCCTCAGAATATCCTTTTAGAAATTCTTGAATAATTAACCAAGTAGGCCGGTACAGTCGAGACCAAAGACATACAGTAATCATCCATCTCATAAAGCATTGGCAATAATATAGAGCGCTTAGAGTCATTACATCATAGAGCGATATGCGCTAGTCAAGAATGGATTATCATTACATGTACCTCAACTCTCTCTACTCCAAGTTGCACAAGTACTATAGAATGTGTATGATAATTACAATAACTTGTCACATCTGCAAAGGAAAAGAAAAATGGCTAAGCCTGAGATCCAACAAATGAAATACATCATTTTTTTATATCACAGTGATTAAAAAAGAATGTACAGTCCGTGATGATACAAATGCACGATTCTCTTTCCCCAGAGTCAATTTGTCAAAAATCATTTTGTGATGAGCAGATCCATTCATTTAAAATTGCAGTATCTGGGGAGAATACTGATCCAGTCTTGTTTGACCTCAAGACAGTGGTATACGCCTCAAGTGAAGAAATAACGGTTCAGTTTTAGCTTCAGTTTTCAACAGTAACAGTTGCTGCTGTGTCTGTAAATAGTTGTCCTGCATCACACTCTCCTATTTGTTCTCTGTAAGCTGCCATTGTGTTGATGCCGTGGTAATGGACGAAGGCCGCCGCTAGAACTAGGACGTGGAATATCTGATGGCTCTGGAACTGTAGTGGAAGATTGATAGATGAGAGAAACAAAAGGTTAAAAATGATTTTCAGACGTCACCGCGAGCCAGGGCCGGTATTCATTTCAATAGTTGGATTGAGTCACTATGGATGGAAACACTACCAACCAGATTTGCGTCAGTCTGGTTACAAGCTATCTTAAATGTGGGGTAATAAATAGTCAAATATACAATGTATCTTTGCATTTTATATCAGTTTGTGACATGTTACAGAAAATGGTATAACAGGCTACATATCCATGCATAAATATTAAACTTTTATTTATATCAATCAAACCTCCCCGCCCCCCCCCCCCCCCCCCCCCCCCCCCCGCCCCTGTTCATGCCGTAGACCTATCCATGTTGGTGGTGGGTTAGAGCTTAGAACTTGTCTGTTTTCCTGTGTACCAAGGTGTACTTAATGGGTACCTGGTAGTAATTTATTCCTTGAATGCTTATTGCACCTTAGGGCAGCTCTACTAAAGCCAGGGTAATACTACTACTTTGTAGGTGTCTTGGGCACCCCCCCCCCCCCCCCCCGTGGGATGGATACCTGCCTGATCTAAATGTAGCTACATGTATTATCTTTATTGTATTCCAAGCAAACAATGTGGCTCTAACTAGGATCTAGCTAGTCAAAATGAATAATGAAGTAGATTATGAACTCACCCAAATGTCACATTTTCCAGGGAAGAACCTCTCCGGGATGCGTATAGCGTAGAGGACTGCTCCTGAGATATAGAGGACTGCCATGAGGATCATCCAGCCCAGTCCACCCCCCTGGATAGCCGTCAAGAAGCTGTTAACACTGACGTAGTGAACGGCCGGTATCACACCGCTTAGGCCCAATGCCACGTACAGACCTGGGAGTTGGAAAGAAGAATTTACTCAAGAGTTTTAAAGGATGTACAGTCAAATCTGCTTTAATGACCACCTGTCTACAAAGACGACATCTTTATGTTTCCCTTGAAAATGGCTTCTCATTGAAACATGTACTAAAGGAACCACTTTTTGTGTTTCCCTTGGGCGATCACTATAGACAGGTTTGACTGTATAATAATAGACAAAATAGAAATAGATATATGTAATGTCTACAGCTAGGTGGTCTTTATAAAATAAATGCATAAATATTCTATTTCATATACATGTACGGTAGGTATCAAGTAAACAATGAATATAGGTGGTCATTATCAAATACATGTCAGGCTGCATAGTCTAACCTGTCATTGTGGCTAAGATAATAACTTGTCCCTTTCATGAAAGCTGGCCTGTCTTAAGGGGCCACTTTTACCATTACCATCGGGTAACCTTTAAGGACAGGCTTGCGTGTAGTTGTGACGCAAGGTCACATACCGTCTGATAGAGCAACTTGACAAAGTCTGCCTTTTCACAGAGAGAGTGTGTGTGTGTGTGTGTGTAATTGGGTTTTTAGAGACGTGTATCAATCAGATATGATTATTTATGTCTGGGGGACCGACCTTAAACGTCACCATCCGAAAGACGTGACTCAGTTTGTAGGCGAAAACAGAGAGCTGACAAAGTGAACGTGCCACTAGACCAACTCACATCTCCCTAATAACTCACTGGTCTTTATAAACAGGTTTGAATGAGCAATGAAGCATATTCTGGAGTAATGACTGAAGAACCTACCTGCCCTGAGCGGACGATACTGGGGTAGACTGAAGGTATCTCTGAGTGCAACAAAGAGGCAGACAGCACCCAGGGAAACTATGAGGACCAGGTAGATGTAGCGGGTCACATTGTCACAGTAGAATCCAAAGTAAAGCCAAGGCACAAATGATCCAACTATCAAGAAGGTGATGCCAGAGTAGTCCAGTCTGGGGTTGGTGAGGAGCATGAGCAGAGAGAAAAAGAGAGAGAAAAAGAGAAAGAGGGGAGAGATGGAGGACAAAAAGTAAAGAGAGAAAGAGGGGAGAGAGGGAGGACAGAGAAAAGAGAGAGGAAGAGAGAGAGAGAGGAAGAGAGAGAGAGAAAGAGAGAGAGAGAGGAAGAGAGAGAGAGAGAGAAAGAGAGAGAGAGAGAGAAAGAGAGAGAGAGGAAGAGAGAGAGAGAAAGAGACAGAAATATGAAGATTAATTTACTTGGCCACACCGTGAAATCATCTTGTACAAGGTTCTTGAGTGGTTTAATATGTAGTTTCTACGTCAAAAAACACTCATTATCTAGCCTTAATGCTGAACTTAGAGATACTTTTTCACATCTCCACCTGTTTGAAGCTCACATTTATACCATCTTCACTTCTACAGACTAAAAACTAATCATCCCACTTCAATATCAACACACACATATAGACACATTCAATTTAAATTCATTAACATCATTGAGTGGTGGGGGGAGAGAAAGGGGAAATTCAATTTTACCAAATCCTTTTGTGTACCATTCTAATGAAGCTTTAATGATCAACAGATTTAATGAAATGGCTACGGAGATAATTATTCCATTAACCTGTTATGAATGAATATGCGCATATTTGGGGCTGGTGTGATCACCACGCCATTGTTTAACACAAAATTGTTTGGAACCAGCAACCACTGAACAGTCTTCTATTTTCTTTTCTTTTTTCATTTGTTAGAAACATCCAATTGTGATGACTTATGTATTATTTTAAAGCTTACAGTCTCCTCTTTTAAGAGTCAGAAAAATAATATCTGGCGAATTTGGTTGTTTTTTTGTGGTGCCTGGTCACAAATTTAGTAAATTTTAGTAAACAAACTCTTAAAGGCATCGGTCAACAATGTTAAATCTGAGATGCACGGCCCTATGTACGTGTTATCAGTGTCTGTGATAATTGCGCTTCAAAATGATCAAGAATTGCCTCAAAAAAGTAAAAATATTTGAGTGACCGGTTTTACCATACTCGTATTCCCCAATAAACTGTAGTGTTATGGAAACCGTTAGGATAACACAAAATTTGATTTTGATTTCCAACCATAAATATCTTGTAAAAGTCATGGGGTTCCTGACTGACCTAAAGGTTTATAATTATCATTGCAGCATGAGCGAAATCCAGGATTTTGTTTCAGAATCTGAGACAAAGTTACCGGATCCCTTTAATGGATGTGCTTGACAAGTACATTGGTAGAAGAAGAAAAACAGAAAAGCACGGCAAAATAATATTGAAACTGTAGTAATCCCACCAAACCCCCCCCCCCCTCCCCCTCCCTCCCCTAAATGATTACTCACTTGCTGAATATTTTTGCTGCGTGTGAAGAGTGGCAGTAGCAAGTATGGAAGAGGCAGGAGAATCCGAGACACAGAATGGCCCCTAAGAAGAACATCATGTATGCCACTATCTCCTGCCAGTCATCCCTTGACATGATGGACTGGATGAGGAAGTAGATGGCTATTATAATAAACGCCAAACAACCTGCAGAAAAGGAAACAGAAAGGTTATTAAAGGCATCGTTTAACAATGTTAAATCTGAGATGCATGGCCCTATGTGTTATCAGTGTCTGTGATATGGTGTAATATTGAAGCCCTAACAATATTATGCTTCACAACAATCAAGAAGTGCCTTAAAAATTAAAAATCTTTGAGTGACCGGTTTTACCATACTCATTTTCCCAATAGACTGTAGTGTTATAAGAAAACGGTTTTTGAAATTTCGATTTCCGATCATAAATATCTTGATAATCAGATAGGCGATTGGCTTGTAAAAGTCATGGGGTTCCTGACTGACCTACAGGTTTATAATTATCATTGCAGCATGAGCTAAATCCAGGATTTTGTTACAGAATCTGAGCCAAAGTTACCGGATCTGTTTAAAGCTAATACAAAGTTTTGGTATGGGGTCATGAATTTGGTTTAAATGAATATATTGGAAGCATATGCGATCCTACAACATTCAGTGATCGTTGTCGCGGTTGAAATCGAGCCTAAAGTTATGAAATTGTAAATAATAAACTCTTTATGTTGTATAGCTCCCTCTCAAGGTCAAGATAATAATTAAGCTATAACACAATGTTTCTTGACTAAAATCGACCGATTTGCTATTCCCGTTTGGAAATTATATATCACAACTACATATTCTGAGAATTTCATGGTCGCAGCTACCATTGTACGGCCGTAGGTGCTATTTGAAATTTATCAAAATTTACTGGGAGGACCGGTTAATTTTTATATTCAATTTCTCTTGAAAACAGAAGTGTTTTAGGGGCTAAATTTTCTAGTGCTTATAATACATCCACAGGGGCATCCAAATATATCAAAATTGTAAAGAATCACTATCCACCCAAAACTTTGTATTACTTTTAAGAGATCCCTGACTCACCTAGTAGATGGGTCCATATGTTGCCAGTCTCGGTATGAATCCTGAAGATAGACTTGAAGCACGTCCTGAACGAGGGTAGAGGAGGACGATGGTGGTAGTGAAGGTAATCATTGTCCTTGAGCCAATCAGGTAAGAAGTTATGATGGGTGACCTTCCATGTCACGTCCTTGACCTTCTGGACAAACTTATGAGCCAGCTCATCGGCCTGCTGCTTCAACAAGGCAAAGTCGTACTCGCTATCGCTCCCTGAACCAACCTGAAATGTGAAGGGATTATTCTGTTGAGCTTATTGTGGTAAGGTACAGTGAAACTCATGGAAGACAAATGTAGTCTTTTTCGTAGGGGATCTTTATGTAAAGATTAGTTTACCCCCTTACCCCCCCTAACCCCCCCCCCCCCCCCCCCCCCCCCCCCGTTTTAAATTGAAATACTTTTTAAGGGCAAAGGACAAAAAGTGGTTGTTTTTAACAGGTAGCCTTTCTATACACTTCAGCTCGATTCCAGTAAGGAAGTCTAAATAGTTTGAGGGCATAAACCCATGGCAGTAATAGTGTGGGGTAGGTAACACAGGTTTGGAACTGTTCCACCTCTAGACCTAAATAGGTTCTTTGAATGATCTGTTCATCTGTGGACCTTCTGTAATATGTGCATTCATATTTTGAGATGGAGAGGCTGTGGCAGTTCTAAATTGTTCAAATATAAAGACGTTCCGGAAACATTTATAATATCAATAAAAATACATGGAAATGCATAACCCATCCCAACCTCCCCCCCCCCCCCCCCTCCCTCAAAAAAAAGAGAAGAAAATGACAGGAAAAATGTTTACTTCTTTTGACAAAAGTTTCTTTTTTCATAATCATTCTTTGACCTTCTGGTGACACGAAGAGAAAACATTTCAGAGCAAACAAAGAATGCAATCTCATTATCTCAAGGCATCAGTAATGGATACACAGAATAACATAATGCCATATCATATGACAAAATGAAAGCTTCATGGCAGACACTTCAAGGGTTCAGCGACACAAAGACGTAACTCCATATTTTGCCCCAAATAAGTATTTAATATCAAAATGTTCAGAAAAATGTGGATTTTCCAGGAAACACAAAGACTTAACTCCACCCAACACCCCATTAAAGTCAATGGCTAGTGAAACATAGACTTAACTCCTTAATACAGCTAAGTGCTCAGTGGCACATAAACCACTTTTTCTCAAAATGGAGTTACATCCTTGTGTCACTGACCTCTCGACTCATATCCATGAAATATGTCTGAATATGAAACCATTTATCATTGGAAAGAGGATCCCCTTGAAGAGCATAGACAATCCAGGATTAGGGAACAGGTTTCTGACAGGAATATCATCTTTCTTTACTTAAATTCTAGATTTAAAGTCAAGGAAGAAGTTCAACCATGGCATAAATTTACATGTAGCTGCTTTCTGTAACAGCAAAACAAAACAGTGAGAATAACATGTTGGGAGAACTACATGTAATATGAAAGTTGTGCATTTTTTAGTGATACAATGATCATTATCTTGTGTAGACGATCCTTAGCTCATCCATGAGTCTGCAACGTCATCCCTTCTCTCTCTATTCTGTAACTACTGCACTACTGCATGTATATTTCATCCACTGTTTTTTTCAGGGAATGTCATATTTTCTTGAGGTTCTGCTACCCTTTAAGATAAGGGCAATTAGATCATGGTCTCAGCCGTAGAGACTTTGTAGACTTGTGAATTTTCCGGACAGTCCCCATAATGAGTCTTTTGATGATAGAGGAAAATGAAGGCTTACATGTACATCAAAATAGTATTTACAAGAATATAAATGTACATGTATAGGATCAAGACCAGAGATCCTGGAAAACCAAGAAGAGCTGATACATGTATTGCCCCCAATGGAGCTTACTGGGTTAGAATAGCATTTTGAAGTATTTTTAGAATAAATGTTACCCTGATACATTGGTGTTTTAGAGTCAACTTCTCACTAATGAGTCACAATGTGAGATAACACACCTGCATGTATCTGTACATATACATAAGAAGGCCTTTCCTTATGCACACATTATCCCATGGGTAAACAGAATGTGTTTGCATCTGCTTTGTACCCCAATCCTTTACATTTTGTAACAAATAAATTATAGTTACATTAGATAGATTAATCCTTTGTTAACATTGAGTGATAGATTTTTAGACTGGGCAATGCAGTTTGTCAATAAATAAAGGAGTGGGAGTCACTTGTCCCAAACAAGAGTTGAAGTATGTAAACAAACATGTCGATGCTTCCTTGTTCATGAATTTAAACAAATTATCTTACAACTGTTAGCTAAACAGTAATATAGACTAGTACTTCATGTACCATATACATGTATGTCATACATTGTGAAACATATTCATTATCTATCTTTTTTGGCGCTGCTATCAATAACTTCATTAATATAATCATTGTCACCTACATGTACATGTACCGTATATCCTTACTAAGATCAAAAGCAGCCATAGAGTTGACATGAACAAGTTGTACAGAACTTTTCAAAAACTCTACCTTCATATAGCTTACTACATTTTCAGATGAAAAAAAAACAGAACCGATCAACCGATCAACCGATGATAGGTCAAGCCATGGGCGTATCAATTGTTTATTGCTGTTTATCATGATCAATTTAGTAAATTGGCAAACTGCTAACTGTGAAGTTTGGTGTGGAGAGCAATCAGTAAATGGAGCATTAAAGGGAAAAAGTTCAACAATGGGAATAACAGACCGTGAATGAGTAAGCTCCAGATCACTGAACACACTGCAGACAATGCAGAAGTTCCTTATAAAAAATACTTCTACTGGCGTGCATTACATAGGAATTTAAATGACTTTACTGCAGTAAAAGTACTATGGAAATTTCATGTAGGTAATGTAGGTAACCATAGGTAATACGTTGTAAACACATCAAAATACATTTTGAAATATTTGAAAGTACATTGGACAAAACAATTAGACTGCTCATACAAAACTATGACAAAACAGTGATTTTCCAAACTTTTCTTGCTCATTTTACAGACCCAAACATTTCATGCACATACACATGTACACCCTGTATTTCTAAGACATCTGGCAGCCTTTTAGTCTAAACATAAGTTTTCTGTTCAGTCCAGCTGCTTGTCTATATAAGAGAGGGTGTGGGTGGGAAACAGGTGCAGTTCTATACACATTCAACAGCTTGAAAGTACACAGAAACTGAGATAGCTTGAACTCTTGCACCAATCAGTGACTCGTACAAGCAAGCAAAGTAAACTTTCTCCTCACTACTTCCTCAAATGTCCCAAATCTCCTTTGACTATAAAATCAATAGAGTTTCAACAGTAAAGAATCAGATGTTGCAAAAATGCCTCATGCATTATCTTCAGGAATTTCCCGCTTTGATTCATTATTAGGCACAGAGAACTGTTGCTAAGCTAGCGCCATGAGCATCCCTGGACGATGTGTGCGCTCTATAAGTTTACACTATTATTATTATTATTATTATTATTATAAAGAGGTGTATTGTGCATCATAATGTCCATCTGAAAATATTCAAAACTGTGTGTAACCTTCTCTTTCCTCCAATGTACATCGTACACATAACCTCTAGATGCCAGTTGAACCGTCAACTACTGAATTCCGTCTCAGTCCCATTATACAGGCTCCACTCGGTTTCTATAGGCGATGGGCCAAGCAGATAATCCTTTCATTACACCTCAGTCACACCAAGTCCAAATACACTCCATATCAACAAAATATTGGCCATTCTGTTTATAAAGTAATTTCATCTTTGGTCTCTGGTCTTCTGTCTAATATCGGTCTTGTCAATGTGACTAAGATACAAGTGTAGAAAGCTTGACATGTCATTAAATACCAAAGCCAGTACCCTTGTCTTACCTTCTTTTCCCCATCACTTGACTTGAGAGCCGATGTCTCCTGGACTTCCTCCACTGTGGTCTTTGGTGCATCCTCAACCTCTTGGCCATCCTTCAAGGGTTGGTTAGATCCCGTTTCCGTGTCTTCCTCCATTGAGTCAGAGTCAGATCCCTGTGATGTACGGGGCTGATGCTTCTTCTTGAACCGCCTCCTAACTTTACCTACACACATACAGTCAAGTGAAAAGATTTAAACTGGTATTAATTCTTGAGAACCAATGTAAATACTGGAAATGAGGTAAAGATTGAAGTGTCTCGTGGATTACGTTCTCACCTCTTTACAAGTCAAGCTTTTACACTTCAGCTTACAATGTACATTAAAGTGTACCGGTACTGCATCCACAAACCATCCACATGCTCAACTCTGTAGTGTAGAGTTTGGGGTTTTCTCATTGACTCTTGTGCGACTCTTATTCACACATCACTAAGCGGCAACTTGGGGCCAGGGGACAGTCACTTAACTCTGCCAAAGTGTATTGACTCACTCCCTAAACTCATTAAAGCTCATTCTCACATTAGCTCAGTCTATTGTTCTACTTTTATTTGATCAAGATTCCAATGAGCAAACAAGCAAATGATATGACCAGATTCATAATCATACAGCAACGGAAAGGATTTCATATTTTCATTCATCAAATTATAATTTTAAAAAAGTGTTTGGTACAAGCAAATGAGCCTATTGTAGCATTAAAGCAGTGTGCAGCTGAGCAAAAAAAAGGAAGACTACGGTAGACTGATTTGTGAACTTTGCATTTGTATTGTACAATGTGCATTATCACTACATGCACTGCTGACCAAACACTTCCTGACTGACTCACAAACTACATGTATTACATTAATTGACCGGAAGAACAAATGACCAGCTCTCGCACACAGATTCTAGCCTTTAAGTCTAGCCTTTACAGTGTATCTAGCCGTTATATCTAGCCTTTATATCTAGCCCCCAAGCCCTGGCTTTGCCTCATATTTAAGAAACACCCTCTTATGGTCTATGTGGTCAAAGTATTGGAGTGGAAATAAAAATATATTCAAGTTTATTCTCTACAGACCATTCAACTGTATCACAGTACATGCAGTAATCAAATAAGTACAAATTAATAACCCCAAATCACTAACTCGGACATTTGCTATTCAAACTCACAAATATTTACACTTCATATTGACCCAATTTTCCACCTGGATATTTGCCAGAACTGTATACGTAATACATAATATTGTATCACCCCAATGTAAATTAACTTAGTATACAATATCTGGTATTCAATCAATATCTAATCATGACGTAACTGCATTGTAATCAAGTAGTTCAAGGTGGCCACAGTGACCGAGTCGCAGACATGTGTTACAAATTGTGCTATAACTATAAAAAAAAAAATGCATGCATTTGATTGATGCAATATCTAAAATATCAATCAGTATTTGGTTATGAGGATGAGGATAAGAATAGGGAGAAAAGGATGAGGATAGTGGATTATGGATGATGGCTGATGAATAAAACTGATAACGACAAAAAATACATCAACGCAAGAAGGATAGTGACTAGGAAAGTATGTTGATACAGATAGTAAAGCACAAGATACAATAGATAATGTATCATGGTTTAGTGGTTCATTCATTTGACTCTGTCTCAACCCAAGGTATGAGGGTTCAACTCCCTGCCCAACAAAAACATCTTTAGGCAATACATTAATCCACATTTGCCACTCTCCACCCAGGTACCTGACAATTGCTGGGGAACGAATAACTGCAGGACCCTTACCGAGAACAGCACTGGTGCTGATGAGTTCTCCGTGTAAACAAAATTATTCTTCTCATTATATTATTACAGAGGATGAAAGTGAGGCTGGGAAGAGGGGAAAGGGTGGGGTGATACAAAAATCCTTTAATCAAGAAATATATAATCGATAAAAGAATTCATATCTACCTGAAGGGCTAGATGTGCTGGCTTGCTGTGGGCTTGCAGGCAGAAGAGTTTGAGGGTCAGAAGAGTTTTCTTCGTCACTCCTCCTCTTTCGAAGGTCTGGTGATTGATTCATTCAGCTTGCAGGACAATAGCAAATTAACTGCAAATAAAAAATAAAACAAAAAGTCTTAGTATTATGAAGTCAAGTATAAATCAATTTGAATTGAGGCCTATTTATCTTCTCACTCTGCATCAATGTATCAGTTTCAGTTTCAAAGGAAAAGCGACAAGATTGTAAAGACAAAACTGGTCTGGTACCATTGTCTCCAGATTTTGTAAACAGTGCATTCCGGTCCATCTTGTGATTAGGGTAACAATTTATTTCAGTAATGATTTTGAGCCTTCCTGCACAAGTTTCAGGGTCTATTAATTTGCCACTTTCTGATCATTTTAGTTTCTAAACAATATAGTCATTAGAAAGATAGAGAGTCAGACAGAGAGACAGACAGACAGAGAGATAGAGACAAAGAGAAAGAGAGAGCTAGAGAGAGAGAGAGAGCGAGAGAGAGAGCGAGAGAGAGAGAGCGAGAGAGAGCAAGAGAGAGAGAGAGAGAGAGAGGCTCATACATTACGTCTACTTTGCATTGTAAAAAGAAAGGAAGATGTACAAATATTACAACAAGAGGATTTTTGCATGTTCACGATATTGATACCAAAGTTAAATGAAAAAAAATAAACCCAAACAAATTCCTAGAAAACAAACAGAAACACATATTAACTTTGAAACTGCATATATAGTTTTTTGCAACTATTGTACAGGACCTTTCTGCACTATTGTACTTATACACGTACAGGAGTATGATAATTATCACTGCCCCCAAAGGCGTTGAAGTGATTCCATAAACTATGAAAGGTTATAGGCTACGGTATTTAAAAGAAGATTCTCAATGAAAAATTACCTGTACATTGTATCTGCAGATTACAATGAAGATTACGAAGGTTATCAAAAATGTTAAACTTTTGTACTAACAGGTCGCTTTGGGTTTAAGACTTTTGTTGTTTTCGACTTGTCACAATATGTAGAGAGAATGGTCGGCATTTCAGAAAGAGATTTTCTTATATTATCTCTGAGAAATTATAACTCAAGTGGTAAGTCAACAATTCAGGGGCACATGTACATGTACGTGATATAAGATATTTAATTACGACATGTATTTGAATTACCATAATTAGTTTTTCATAAAATTGCATTTTGTCATTCTTCAAACATTTACTTTGAGAGATAGCCTAAAATTATCAAATACATGTGTACATGTATACTGTACATGTAGGTGGCATGATCAAGATAGCACAAGATCACGCTATTTGTGAAAACATGAGATGGTCCAAAGTGCAACTTTTAACAAGATGTAGTTTAAGATGCAGTTTAAGATATAGGATCACAAAATTATGTGCAGTATTTTTGCTCCTTCTGCTCATGCATCTACAGTAATAAACTTTAGGGCTTTGTAAAAATTGATTTTTTTTTTTTTTTTTTTTTTTTTTTTTTTATAATTTTCTTCAATTTTAACACCAGTTGTCCTGAAATAAAGGATTATCTGGAAACTTTCAGCAATATATTCGGAGCAGAACAATAGTAAGGCCACAAACATATTCAAATCTCATTCTCTGTGTACCTCTACTGCAGTGGTTAATAATGAAGACTCTTTAGGCATGTCAGAGGTTAAGCTGATGTAGCAGTAAGCAATGCAACAAACTTGGTCTAGAGGCTCGTAAAATAGGCAGCAGAGTAGCGCTACCATCCTGAAAAAAAAAATTTGTCACTTTTGGCAAAATGACTCGAGGCTATCAAACCCAAAAGCTGAGAGACATGTCACATGTCCTAAATATAAACTTGGTACATTGATAATCATTATTATCATATTTGCTAATAATTTAGTTAGTAGCGCTTCATGACAAATGTATGATAGAAAAAGGCAAATTAGAAGCAACTAAACCAAAAGGAAAGCAGAAAACCAGCCACGGAGAAATTAGAATAACGGTATCTGGGAAAGACACTGACTGAAAACAAATCCCTGTGAAGACTATGTTTAGGATGTAAAAGTAAAAACCAATTTAAAAAACAAACACAGTGTGGAGAGGTTTCCAATCTACTTCCCAGCCAAAAGATGAGATAAACATGGAATGTTAAAGCACAAACACCATTGTATATGTACTTTCATTTTTTTTGCAGATCATTCATTTGCATGGTCGTTAAAATAAAAGGTGGCTATTAGTAGTTTTAGGGTGACAGATGACAGTAAAGGTGAATTTCAAAAAGCCAAGAAGCTGTGCAGAAAACTAGTATGCTTTCACCAAACTTTTTGACAGAAGCGCACATTGAATCAGGAGTCATCAGGACTACATGTATGAATATACTGTACATGTAAAAGAATGTGCATGAAAATCTGGCTACTTGCAAGATTTCAGGCAATGAGGAATGCACTCACCAGTGCCTCCAGGGCACACTCTCAAGATGTATGATAGATGGAATGATGAATCAAGTCTGATGGTCCTAGAATACAAATGTAAAATGAATTCACATGGAGGTTGAAGAATGTAATAACAACACTTAAAAGTAGATTATGTGACTCTGTGAGAGATTAAAGACTTTGATCCTACTGCCTGCATACAGTGAGGGGGGGGGGGGTAGGAGAAACATTGCTGTTTAGTGATTTAGCTCCAAAAAGCTGTTTAAAAAACTCTAGAAAACTTAACTGGAAAAACTGGGGGGAAAATACAAGGAATAAATAGCTCCATTCCCTCTAGAAGACTCTGCAAAAGAGAGCTCTTGTAAAAGAGCAAATTAATGTAGATTGTAGACACAGAGTTTTGGCACCAAAATATCACATTTGTTTGACAGCATATCCAGAAAGAATTCCTGAAAACAAACAAAAAATTCACACTGCATGCATGTCATACACAATACATTGTACGTAAAAAACATATTACCAATACCAGCAAGATTGTTTAGTACCGGTACACAACACCAGTGGAATATGAGCATTTGACAAAGAGAGAAGCGTGTATGCACTGTACTGTACATGTTAACACGAACAAGAATAGAACGCTTTTAAAGCCCTCTGACGTCTGCTGTTATCTGAATCAGGAAATGCCTGTTACAAACATTATCCATATATAATTTCTGCAAGGTTATCAATATCCTGGCAGCATAACACAAAGGGGTGATTTGGTACACAGCACTTACACACATAAAGATTGGTGCCACAGTCATATTACAAGCTACATATACATTTCCTATTTTGTCCATCATACAATCTAATTTTTGTTTAGTTTGTTACTAGTTTCCCTTGAAAATGATTTCTCATTGAAACATGTACTAAAGGAACCTGTCTACAGGGATCACTTTTTTGTGTTTCCCTTGGGCAGTCGCTCTAGACAGATTTGACTGTACACTGTATTGGTAGTACAAAGGGAAAGAATACACATTCAAACTTTATATGGAATGTAAGTAACAAGTTATGCTCAATATATGAAAATAAATAAAAAATACTTTCGTAATCCTTAGTCAGATCTGCTTTGAAGTTTGAAGAACAAAGGAAAGTAGAAAAAGTATGTATTAAACAAATTAATGGAATATCTCATGAAAGGAAACAAACAAAACAAAGTTATTGTTTTTTAATTCAAGAATCATGATCACTATACATTTTTGGAATATCAAATTGGCATTTATGTATCACCTAATGTCACTGTGATGGTGTGATCAGTGTGTTTATGATCTTGTGATGTGATGTAATGTTGTACAACTCTCTCTCTTCTGCTCTCGTCAGGAACAAACAAAACAAGCCATAAAAATCGTTGTTGTAATTTACATTGTTAAACAGGATCTTTTCTCTGATAAAACTGTCTGGAGGTCAATGACAATGACAATGACAAGGATAATGTATATTTTACAATTGATGAACAGGCATAGTCCTATAGCATCACTGGATTAAAGTGAAATATTAAAGTAAAAGTCACAAAACATGCTGTCAAATCAGGAGTAAAAGCCTAATAGAAAATTAATTAATTCTCGGCATCAAATGGGAAAGTTGTCCCCTCTTACAACTCAGTCATCCGTACCTTGTACATGTACTCTGCACATTAAGATTCAAACCTTGTTTGTGGCTATCTTTCTTTCAAACTCTGAAGTTTAACTTTATGATTCGTCTGTATTCACACAATACTTTTCTTGACAATTTTTTTTTGTTGGAAGTTGACTCTCTCGAAAGGTTAGAATATTTCACACAAGACTCGCTATCTGTGATCGCTAAACTTTGCCTCAAGTTGTCTGAAAGTGAAAATTTGTTAATATTTATCAAAAATAAGTTCATTTCCTAGCTTGTCACTGTAATGACATGTACAAATAACTAGTATTAATTTACACACTGGTGAAAATTAATCAATCATTCACAACAAAACCAAAGGCAACAGCAGTAATGCATTTATATGTTTACTACGTGACTAGTAAGAGTAACAGACACAAAGTTCCTGCTGCAACTTGAAGATGAGCGTCTCAACACTGTTCAAAATACATTCACGAACATATCATCATCATCATCATCATCATCATGATACGAGGAGAGGTAGATCCTGTAATCCTCGGTCACTTCTTCAGGGTTGGTTATGTTCTAGAGGTTAACTCATTGCACATGCGCAGGTTTAGGACGGTTTTGATCATATCATTAACTTAATTCAAATCGCTCAGACCACCAGTGCTTATTGATGCAATTATCAGATTATGATGTGATAATAGACTGTCACTAGTTACTGAACTCTAGATCTAAATACGTATCACTGATTGATGCACTTTAATGCTACAACTAAAGTACAAGCTTATTAGTAGTAAACCTCATGTCATGACAAAGGCGAGAGGGGCATAAGCAAAGCCATTTCCATATCATAGTCATAGTATAGTCATAGACTACTCATACTCGACATCATGCTCACAATACTAAACCCAACTCTCATTCAATTTTATGCTGAGCTAGTCAGCTCACGCTCGCGCTGCGCTTGCCAGCCGCAGCACAACAGCTGTAGCAGCAAGAGCCAGCCAAGCTGGACCCGCGCCATTACAGTTACACACGATCACAACACACTACGAATTACAAAGAACATTACCATGAAAAATATCTTTCTGTGTCCTTGGATATCTCCTAATGCATTCGACACCGTTCCTTGTTTAATAAGCTGTGAAATAGGTTTGATGGTAAGCAATAACCGTATGTTTCTAAGCGGCAATGTCGGCTTCTAAGATTTGTTTACTTCGGAACATGTCTGCAAAAATCAACACACAGCGCGCGTAATACGTAGACAATGTACCATCACATGTTAAGTGTGACGTCATGCATCTTCGAACTTCCGACATCGACATATCGCAGTTTCACAGTTCAGTTACAGTTTCAAGTTTATTGAAACAAATCCACAAGGTCGGTATGTCATCAGACACGAACATCAATCATGTCGCAATCAACCACCACCCCCCCCCCCCCCCCGTTTGAGTAAATTAGAAGAAAAAAATGGAGAAAAAAAAATTGAAAATGATAAAACAATCAAAACCATCAACTTGTGGAAATTAGAAGAAAGCAAAGATCAACAAAATCACAAGGAAATGTTTATAACATTTTGGAAGATAGATCTAATGTTTATTACATCTTTAGCCTTACAATAGAGCCATCCAATAATCTTACAGTTGATAAAAAAAAATGTTATTTTGTTCGTCATTCTTTTTAAAACAGCCGTTAACAAAAAATTAAACAAAAATAAAAACAATACAAAAAACAACATTGTCAAACCGTGAACTAGGGCTTGGCGAATTGCCAGATTTTAGAGTCTTTAAAAATTCGTTAATTTTCTTCATTGATGTTAATAATCAGGGCAGTCTCATTCAAAGCCAGGGAGCTTTGCGAGGGAGCCCTTCAACGTGTATACTTGATATTAAACATAAACGATAACGTGATGATAAAAAATAATGATGTCCTGATTTTTCATCTCTTTCATTGTCTAACAAGTTATAACTGGGCAAAAACCATTTAAAGGGAAAGTCCACCCTGATATTAAGTTGGTTTTTATATAAAGCAGAAAACGAGAGAAACAAATTAGTGAAAATTTGAGCAATATTTGATTAAAAGTAGGAAAGTTATGAATTTTTGAAGTTGTCATAGGCAATTATTGCCTATGACAACTTCAAAAATTCTTTAAAAAAAAACATAGATGCCAAATCGAGTATTATACTCAATTTGGCATCTATGTTTTTTTTGCGATCTTCTCTCCGATTTTGCTCTGTACAGAACATTTCTTTATTTCCATTTTTTTAGTTTTTGATGACGGAGTCAATTTGTTTCATACATGAGTTGTATCAAATTTAGGTTAAAAATATGACTGAACATTTCTCTGAAGGGAAAATATAAATAAAAGAGTTGCCAATTTATGTTTGAATGATCGCGCTTTCACAAATTCATAACTTTCTTTTTTTTTTAAATCTGCTTTGGCTCAAACTTTCATTTACTTGTTTCTCTCATTTTTCTGCTTCTATTTAAAAAAAATATATAATAATCAGGGAAGACTTCCCCATTAAAAATTAATCCAAGAAACATGACCAAAAAGTTGAGGACTTACAAAGTAATGTACCCTAAAATATTTCGGGGGGGGGGGGCTTTCTAGGAGATGGGAAATGTTATCACATAATTAACATGATAATCACGCATATTCGTATAGCTAGGCAAATTTTTTTAAGTGGCGGATCCAGGAATTTCTTACCGGGGGGGCGGTACAAATCGCATGGGGTGAAATATATGAAAAACGATGGAGCGAGGCGTCAGCAGCGAGGGAGCGGGGGTGGATCTGGGAGGGGGTCAGAACCCCCTCCCTGAGTAGGAAGCATTTGCAATTTTAGAACCACATTAGGTGCATTTTCAGACACTTCCTGGAGTAATATGACGTAAAATTGCTTTCTCCTACCCCCTCAAAGAGTAGAGATCCAGGGGCGGATGATGGGATCTGGTTTTTTTGCTAAGGGGGGGTTAACCCAATGACGACACGGAGCATCGTCCACGAGCCGCGTAGCGGCGAGACGATTTTTGTGGTTGTTGCTATTTTGAACCCCCGTCAGTGGCGGATCCAGGGGGGGGCCGAAACGGCCGCGGCCCCCCCTATTGGCGGCGCAAAAAAAAAGAAAAAAAAAAGAAAGGAGAAGAGAAGAAAAAAGGAGAAGAGAAAAGAAAGGAGAAGAGAAAAGAAAGAAGAGAGAGAGAAAAAAAAAAGGAGAAAAGAAAAAGAAGATAACCCCCCCCCCCCCCCCCCCCCCCCCCCCCCCCCACCTCACTCCCACTCCGGGGTCGGAGGGATCGAATTTGTGTTCCCAAATTCTCCGATAAAGGGTTACTTTTCACGCAGCAAAGTCCGGCCCGTAATACACAAAAATCCGGCCCGCACTGACTTTACACACCGAAGATAAAGGGGTGCTTTCAAAGAGAGGGAACATACATGTACATGCGCGTACCCTAAACAACACTGAGTGGGTAGGGGGGGGAGAGAAAAGTCGGGTGAGAAAGGGGGAAAGACAAGGAAAGGGCGCTAAGTGACAGTAACGACGAATAAGGGAAAAACTGTAATCGGAAGATTTAGGGTCATTCCAGAAGGCTTGGGAAACGTTATTGAATAGAGGGGGCCGGGCCGGCCGCATAAAATTTCGAGCCACGGATTCAAAGTAAAACGTTAAAAACAGCCCCTGCTTTTGAAAAAAAATTGAAAAGGGCACAATATTTTGGATGTCTTTCAAATAGAAGCTATATACTCAACAGTCAAATGTTAAATTAAAGGTAGGGCCGCTTCACAACTCTTATGTTGCTCTTCAATTGGATTCAGCTCATACCAACTCGCTTGCGCTTATTTTGAACTCATGGTGGTAGCAGTCATGGACAGAGGCGGCGATCCTGGGCCCGATAGAGGGACACGTCCCCCTGGAAATTTAGATATATAGCTAGAAAGAAATGAAAGAACATACATATTGGGCTGAGGGATTTTCTAGAATGCATAATTTCAGCATTCTACATTGCAAAATCACGCTTGGTCGCTACACCCCGGCCCTCGCCCGATAACACAAAAATATGATATGACGCTCCCGGTCGGGATTATTCCATGGTTGGTGTAATAACTTTTTTTCCCCTTTCATTTCTACTGACCTAATTGTGTGCTATCACAATCATAATTGTTTCATTTTCCCTTTAAAGCATGCGTAGCTAGGGGCGGTAGGGGCATTAAAAGGACATAGGACGGAAAAGGAGCAGACAAAGAAACAATTTTGAAAATTCTGACAAGTCGAGAACGGTACAACAAATCGTTTTCTTTCTCTAATAATTTAATGAAACGTTATAAGCTTCTGCGCTTTTCGCTAGAGGGGGGAACTGAATTCAGAGAAGGATTAAGAGTCGAGAATGAAACAATGAATTATCTTCTTTCTCTAATAATTTTATTACACTATGAAAGGTCAAAGCTTCCGCGCCTCGGGCGGAAGGGGGAAAATGAATTCAAACAAGGATTAAGAATCGAGAATGGAACAACGAATCATCTTCTTTCTCTAATAATTCAATGAAACGTCAAAGCTTCTGCGCGGGGGGAAGAAACTCAATTCAGACAAGGATTAAGAGTCGAGAATGGTACAAAGAATCGCCTTCTTTCTCTAATAATTTAATGAAACGTCAAAGCTTCTGCGCGGGGGGAAGAAACTCAATTCAGACAAGGATTAAGAGTCGAGAATGGTACAAAGAATCGTCTTCTTTCTCTAATAATTTAATGAAACGTCAAAGCTTCCGTGCTTCGCGCGGAGGGGGGAGGGGGAACTCAATTCAGACAAGTATTTAAGAGTCGAGAACAGTACAACGAATCGTCGTCTTTCTCTAATGATTTAATGAAACGTCACAGCTTCCGCGCTTCGCGCGGGAGGGGGTGGGGAAACTGTATTCAGACAATGATTAAGAATCGAGAACGGTACAACGAATTGCTTCTTTCTCTAATGATTGAATGAAACGTCAAAGCTTCCGCGGGAGGGGGAGGGGATCTAATTCAGACAAGGATTAAGAGTCGAGAACGGTACAACGAATCGTCTTCTTTCTCTAATAATTCAATGAAACGTCAAAGCTTCTGCGCGGGGGGAAGAAACTCAATTCAGACAAGGATTAAGAGTCGAGAATGATACAAAGAATCGCCTTCTTTCTCTAATAATTTAATGAAACGTCAAAGCTTCTGCGCGGGGGGAAGAAACTCAATTCAGAGAAGGATTAAGAGTCGAGAATGGTACAAAGAATCGTCTTCTTTCTCTAATAATTTAATGAAACGTCAAAGCTTCCGTGCTTCGCGCGGAGGGGGGGGGAAACTGAATTCAGACAATGATCAAGTATCGAGAACGGTACAAAGAATCGTCTTCTTTCTCTAATAATTTAATGAAACGTCAAAGCTTCCGCGCTTCGCGCGGAGGGGGGGGGGGGAACTGAATTCAGACAATGATTAAGTATCGAGAACGGTACAACGCATCGTCTTCTTTCTCTAATAATTTAATGAAACGTCAAAGCTTCCGCGCTTCGCGTGGAGGGGGGAACTGAATTCAGACAATAATTAAGTATCGCGAACGGTACAACGCATCGTCTTCTTTCTCTAATAATTTAATGAATCGTCAAAGCTTCCGCGCTTCGCGTGAAGGGGGGAGGGGAACTGAATTCAGACAATAATTAAGTATCGCTAACGGTACAACGAATCGTCTTCTTTCTCTGATGATTTAATGAAACGTCACAGCTTCTAAGCTTCGCGCGGGAGGGGGTAGGGAAACTGAATTTAGACAATGATTAAAAATCGAGAACGGTACAACGAATCGTCTTCTTACTCTAATAATTTAATGAAACGTCAATCTTCGCGCGGGAGGGGGGGGGGGACTCAATTCAGACAATGATTAAGAATCGAGAACGGAACAACGAATCTTCTTCTTTCTCTAATAATTTAATGAAACGTCAAAGCTCCTGTGAGGGGAGAGGAAATTCAATTCAGCCAAGGATTAAGAGTCGAGAATGGAACAAAGAATTGTCTTCTTTCTCTAATAATTTAATGAAACGTCAAAGCTTCCGCGCTTGCGCGGGAGGGGAGGGGGAACTCAATTCAGACAAGTATTTAAGAGTCGAGAACAGTACAACGAATCGTCGTCTTTCTCTAATGATTTAATGAAACGTCACAGCTTCCGCGCTTCGCGCGGGAGGGGGTGGGGAAACTGTATTCAGACAATGATTAAGAATCGAGAACGG